CGAACTTGGTAGAATCACGGCAACGCAGCTGGCCACCCAATGACAGCCGAGCTTCCCTTTTGACCGCTCAAGCTGAGTAGCCGAGCCCATGCGCCGGTCCTTAGAAGCTACCAGTGCCCTCTGGGTGCGCGATGCCTTTGCCACTGTGGCTTGGATTGATTTTTATCCATATCCCTCAGCTCCAGAGCGTGTCTATTGTCAATGATCGGGAGCATGGGCGCCCTGGTCAGGATCCCTGTAGAGAGAGCAAAAATGAGCTGTTGTTGACGGAGTGCTCCATGGCAACGCTTTTCGCCTGGCTGACTTGCCAGTCGTCTTTTCATTAGAGGCTATTGTTCGATCATTAGATGAAATACATTGTAGTCACACAGTACATGAGTAATCCTCTCTATCATCAAGAATCTGTTTGTCATTCCATCAGCTACCTGCTAAGAGCTAACTTTGCAGCGAAGTTACATATATATCTCGCTCAATGACCCGGTGAAACGGAACTAGGATCGACCATTTCCCATGCGCATTCCTGATTCTCATGTTTGCCACACTATTAAACAGATACTATGGTCTCAGATACCACCCAGAGACCATTTCGAGATGAGCGATGTTCTACTCCGTAGAATGCCGATTTACATTCCCACTCGAACGAAAAAGATACCTCGGCAATAATGTCTTGTTTTTCTTTCCCCCAGACCCAGTGCACATACATCAATCATCAGAGGTTTTCTTAAAAAGGTCCTAATCAGAGGGTCTACTAGACACTAATCGAAATTACTTGCCTGTCCCTAGAGATTTATCTAAAAAGGCCCATTACTCCTGCCTAGTGAACTGCATAACCAGGGACTAGTCTGTTATGGAGTGGAGTGACTCATCGGCAAGCACATCAATTTCTGCGGATACCTTGCCAGTCTCTCACCGCATCCGATGTCAGAAAGGGACTCCATGAGCTCGGGATCTGCGTAGTAATAACAGCCAACCCCCCGGACATAACCATGGATGCCAATGGCGTGACAAGACTGCTCCCAGTTAGTCTGCGAACCTAGTCGGGAAGCCTCACGAGACGTGATCTATCAGCCAGCCGGGATCGGGCGGTCGCGGTCAATGGGGACCGCGCAGGGAGATGGAACGGGGGATCGTCTGCATTGAAAACAAACGGTTGAAAAAGAAAAGGGCAATTGTATCATCATGAATGACTTGCCGTAATTTCCCACTCGAATGATAATCCGCAGGTGCAGCGCTGGAAGCGGTCGCAAATTGAATTGACTCGACCGCATTCGCCGCTGGAGGTTCCCCGGATTGGGTCCGGCAAGTCTTACGTCATCCGTTCGCACCCGCCATGACCCTCCGAAATCGTCCCCCCAACGCAAAGGCGGATCAGTGAGTGGTAAGGGAGACCGAAGGTGGGAGAGTCGAAGTATCGAGGTTTGGTGCGTCGCAGTGTTGCTGGGTTCCCTCTGCTTGCCTACTTTACTCGAACGAGCTCTAGTACCTGAGACTTCTCTTCGGCTAGACCCTGTTTCCAGCACCCTGCGACACTGGTCTCCTTTTCACCAGTCTTGCCCAATACCACTTTTCTTTTTCGTCGTCGCTCTCCATCGACTCGCTTCCTCTTTCCTCCCTCTGCGTTGTCCGTCGATTCCGCAACATCGGGGCTTCGCTATAGCTGTACTTCCGACCATGTCACCTTGATGTCGACGCCCCTTCATCATGACTACGGATTCGCTTGCGTCAGTCTCCTATTGTCCCTATCTTTCAGGTGATGATGCAACCCGCCGATTGCTAATGTCCTATCGGTTCCCAGGTATCATCCGACTGAGTCTCTTATCCTTCCGAACAAGCGCCGCTTCTTCCCTTTCAAAATTCCCAACTTGTCCGTACATCGAGCTCGCACCAAAGCAGCCGATCAATGCTAATTGTGACATAGCCACCAGCAACTTCGCAATTATATTAGCACCGCCGACCCGGACAGGATTTACGTTGTCGTGGAGCGAGTCATATACTCGATCCACGTTTCATCACAGAAGCGGGAGACTATCGCCGTCATCCCCTTTGAGCCAAAATGTCTTGCTGCGGGTTACGGCTGGATTGGAGTAGGGGGCGCAGAGAATGGTGAATGCGCCTTTGTCAGGCTATCGTCCGATCGGAGTGCGCGCGTCCGTGCCGATACCCCGGCCTTCCAGCCCTCAGACGTGGACAGTGCCCTGCCAATTGAACTTGAACCCCCCGCGAGAATTTCACCCCCTTGGCTGCCTGGCGATGAACCTGGGCCAGCTCGCCATGGTGGGAGAAGGCAGGCCCCAGAGGTGCAGTTGCATAAATTTGGGGGCAGCATTGTCAACTCAGTCACTTTCCACCGACTACCTGGAGATGGTAAAGAGTTAGCGGATGAAGATGTAGCGATTCTCAGGTATTAACACAGCCATCTTGTGACCTACTGAGATGCTGACCGGGTTTGCAGTAACAATGATAAGACCGTTACCGTCTATTCCCTGGGCCGATCGAAAGTTCTCCGAGTGATAGATCATCCGGCATGCATGAATTATGCGATCATGTCGCCCGACTCTACTCTACTTGCTGCGGTTGGAGATGAAACAAGCGCATATTTCTATAAGGTTGCCCGGAACCTTGATGAGGTGACTGTGACGGATAATGGTGACAAAGTTTGTGGGTGGAATTGGAGCCTTCTTCGCTGTATAGAGATGGATATAGGCACCCGCTTCGACGATGGATGCTGTTTCACTATCGCTTTTTCTCAATTTAGTCGATTATGTGCGATCGGATCGCAATCTGGAGTTATCACCGTCTTTGATGTGAGATCAATCCGTGACATTATCCACCAGCCTGACGGCAACAATGCGATAATTTGTCATTTCAACTCGTCAAGGCCTTGCTGCAATGGTGGCGCTGTGCGCTGTATGGCATTTGCGCCCGAGCCTTGGGACCTCCTGGTGTGGCTTGAAGACAAAGGACGGGCTGGAATCGCCGACGTCCGTCAGGCTTTTATTCGCAGGCAGATTCTTGAATTGGACATGAACGAGCCCGACATGCAGGAAGTCCGTACCGAGCCATTGTTGGATGACTTGATATTTGAACTCGATAGTCGGGTATCTCCAGACACGCGCCATGAACTCGACGTGGCACAACGAGCAATTCTTGACTCGCTTGAGGGGTCGCCCTATAACCAAGGCGCGGCAGGATCGGACAATTCACCACTGAGTGAGAGCCTGATACAGGACCTCACAGAAAGAGAGAGGCTGATAGTTGAATTTTTGAACACAGCACGCTGGACGTCGAGGATGGAAGATGGCCTTGCAGAACGGCGAGCTAGAGCTAATGCTCATCCACACCCTGCGGTTCGCCCACGGTTTCACGGTTCCACAGAGGAGGCCAGTCGAGCCTCCCGTTTTACTTCGCCTCCCCGCCACGGCGATGCAGGCCGTGACTTGTATCGCGAGGAGCCACAAACGGAAGCTGGTGACCGTAGACAACATGCGAGGCGCCAAGGCTCTATTCTACTGACTCCAGGCAATAATGAAGCGAGTAGTCGGACGCCAGAAACGGGGCTGGCGAACATTGATCCACAGCCTAGCATTACACTCAGCTGGACCGCATCGCCCTCGGAGATGTACCCCAATGCTTCGGAAGCCCTTCCACACGCCGCAGATTCAAGCTCAAGTGATCCTAGTAGTTCTGGCAATGAGCTTGGTTCTGCCACTCGGACCCAAGGAACGACGAATCGCCCCTCCGCCAATTTCGACTATTCTAATATCACTGCAGACTTGTTGCCTCGACCGAGAAACCACCAGCGATCTCGATCTGGCCACAGACGGCCCGAGAGGCAGGATAGTACGCCCGAGGCCCTCCACGATACACCGCGGCTCTCGAGCACCGAATTGAGAGCTAGTGTGGCTGTCGAGCGCATTCGACGGCAGCGACAGAATCTGACTGAAGTACACAATCAAATGCAAACCCGGCATAGTCAACGTGACCAGCGATATCGGCAGCAACCATGGGGGTTCGAACAGACTCGATCTCCTCGGTGGATTCGGAATGTGCTGAACGAACTCCCCGACCGTAGCTTGGGGGTTGGCCGGGATCAGGAGCCAGGTAGCACAGCTGGAATTGGCTGGGGTGCTGATGGAAGAACATTGTAGGTGCCATGTCTCCACCCAAAGGTAGCTTCAACTGATTGATTAGATACATCGCCACTGTCGACGGAATCTTCGAGTACCAGATCGATGTAACGGACAGAAAGACTTTCCCTGTCACCACATACCGTTAGCAAGTAATTACGGACGCTTCTCCGGTTATTGCTTGGGATAGTCGGAGGTATCCCATCACTCTCGATGAGTGACTAGGCCGTTCAATGTTCCCATGATTTTCATTATTCTTTTCGATCTTCTTGAATTTATATCCATTCTCTCGGGGTTATGACAAGGCGCAGGTTTTGCAGGATGACTGATCTTCAGCATACAAGATTGGACGATTGGAAATAGAGTATCATCTTCGGTGTTGAAGGGGGTGGGAGTGGCCATGACGATGGCCCCCTGGGGTCCTGACCCCCCTGTCCAGCACGGGTATTTTGCGCGTTTGTTTCGGGAGCATTCCAATTGTAACATTTGGGGTGAAATCGCTGTTATGCATTTGCTTTTGGCGTTCCGGCGACTGCTTAGGGTGAATCACTCATGTATAAGGGTCACCATCTTCTTACTACTCGTTAGGCACATGAACAGGAATTCCATGTTTGACTTTCCTGTGTCGATTGAAATACCTCCTAGACCTATCTTTCAGCCGGGAAAATCTCTGCGATGCGAACTCCCAGGACGCAAGTCAATGGAGGGGGGCTAATAGATGAGGGAGCCAATGGTCCGTAACAATAATTTCTTCCGCTCTTCGCATCCTCATGGCATTCCGTGGGCGGAAGGCGTGCAGTCTCCACACGACGTCAGAGCTGGTTGGTCTGGCAGAGAGCGTCCGGCCAACTTCCCGCCGCCAAACACCGCCAATGAATAACTGGTGCTCTCTTCCCACCTGCGAGCTTCTTGGGACCTGTGCACTGTCAAGTAACCTGTGAATGCTAGCTGTACCTAGCAAGCTTTTCATGGGTCCGGCTTGTTAATCTTCCCCTCCTGCTCTTTCACTTCCCTTCGCCTGCCGCCTCGGCTATCCTGCGGGGTCTTCTTTCTGGACCTCCGCTCAGACCTTTGATCTGGTGTTCAAGTAAATCGCGTCCACATTCAAAGCTTTCTTCGGAAATTGGCTTCAAATGACGGGGAGTCTTACCTCGGCGCTGGCCGAGTTGAGTCTAAACTCGCAGAGTCTTAGCGGACCGGCCTTTGACGCACGGCTTGCCGAAGAGGAAGCTGGTGTCTACAAGAACTGCAAACCTCGACAAAGAGCTCGGCAGGATGCTGCTGATCTCAAGGAGGAGCTGGAGCGAGACTTTCTTACTCCTTCCTCTCAATTCAGTCCCGAATGGCTGAACCGTCTGCAAAGGTTTGATTGTCCCTACTGATTTGCGCCCTCATGCCCCGAGCCTTAATCGACAAGTTCAAGCATTTCCTGCTTGCAGCTAGGACGTGCGTTCATAATTCTGGCCAGTGTACCAGTTCCTACTTATATATGGTTCCTTGCAGACTGTTGTTGTGTCTGACGCATTTGTTTCCTGATACCATACTAACACAATGTAGGAAATGGGATGTCTCAACGGACTACACCGACCTTTTTGAAGTCGCAGGTACTCAAACACGGACCATCGTTCGGTTTGATCGTGATGGCCTTGAAGGGCGTGTTACTGGTTACCATGAAGTAACCGTCCCCGCCACCAGTGCAAATGCCAAAAACTCGACGTCTCTACTCCGCCGGCCAGCTGGCCGTGCAGACTTTGTGAGGGGCGCGGCAGGGTTCTTCCCGTTTGCTCCAGGTGGGTTAGATGGTGTCGAAGCGATTGCTGAGATGGAGTCTGAGGCCCAAACGACGGAGCACTCTAGAACCAGTGGCAAGCAATCGGGTCTTGATCGCATCATCAACTTTGGTGCTGAAGGAGGCCTCTTGGAGATTGCCCCTGGGTTTTCTCGGGGCCTGAAGTTCGAGCAGGCCAAGTCTAAAGAGGCTGCAGAGGGGGATCAGGAAGTAGAACACGCTCTGCAGCAGGAAGAGAGCGATCTCCACGTCGAGCAAGATGAGACTGCCTCAGACGCCGGAGGCGTCAAGATCGAGGACGAAGCAGAGCTCAGCGACGAGGAAGACATTGATTCTTTGCTGCCTGTAGAGTTCCCAGCACTGGAGCCCCACGCGCCGCTACTCGCAGGCGTCCAGCAAAGGAAAACTGGTAGGGAATGGGGTCATGTCGTTGATGTCAACAAGGAGATTTCCAACTTCCGTGACCTGGTCCCTGACATGGCTCGCGAGTGGCCATTCGAGTTGGACACCTTCCAAAAAGAAGCTGTCTATCATCTCGAATGTGGTGACTCTGTGTTCGTCGCTGCCCATACGTCGGCTGGCAAAACCGTTGTCGCCGAGTATGCCATTTCTTTAGCCGCAAAGCATATGACGAAAGCCATTTACACATCACCCATCAAGGCCTTGAGTAACCAGAAGTTCAGGGACTTTAGAACCGAGTTTGATGATGTTGGTATCTTGACAGGCGATGTTCAGATCAACCCGGAAGCAAGCTGCCTCATCATGACCACTGAGATCTTACGAAGCATGCTTTACAGAGGAGCTGACCTGATCCGAGATGTGGAATTCGTGATTTTCGATGAAGTGCATTACGTCAATGACCTTGAAAGAGGCGTTGTTTGGGAAGAAGTTATTATCATGCTTCCCGAACATGTCACTTTGATCCTCCTGTCTGCCACCGTTCCCAACACCTATGAATTCGCCTCCTGGGTTGGTCGCACGAAGAAGAAGGACATCTACGTCATCTCCACTGCCAAGAGACCTGTTCCACTTGAACATTACCTCTGGGCCGGTAAGGGGAAGTACAAGGTCGTCGATTCGAACAAACGGTTCCTTGAGAACGGGTGGAAAGAGGCTGACGAGATTATTTCCGGCCGAGACAAAGTCAAAGCTCAGAAGGCGGCCGAGGCCCAAGCCCAATCGCAAGCGAGCAGAGGAGCTCCTCAGGGCCGAGGACGTGGACAACAAGCTGGTGGGCGAGGTGGTGCCCCTCGTGGCAACTCGCAACGGGGAGGAGCTCCTCGCGGCCGAGGGCAGCCCGCAAATAGAGGCACGGGAAACATTGCCCGTACAGGAAGAGGAGGCGGGCGGACCACGGCTGCGCAAGATAAAACCGTCTGGGTGCAACTGGTTCAGCATCTTCGCAAGGAGAATCTGCTGCCTGGTTGTATCTTCGTCTTTTCCAAGAAGAGATGTGAGCAGAATGCTGACTCCCTGTCCAACCAAGATTTCTCTACTGCCTCGGAGAAGAGTTTGATTCACATGTTCATCGAGAAATCCCTCACAAGACTCAAGCCAGAGGACCGAACCCTGCCGCAGATTCTTCGTCTTCGAGAATTGTTGAGTAGAGGTATCGCGGTCCATCATGGCGGTCTACTGCCGATCATGAAAGAGATCGTCGAGATTCTGTTTGCTAAATCACTGGTCAAAGTTCTCTTTGCCACGGAGACATTTGCTATGGGACTCAACCTGCCTACCCGCACGGTAGTCTTCTCCGGATTCCGCAAACATGATGGCAAAGGATTCCGAGACCTGCTACCTGGAGAGTATACCCAAATGGCTGGACGTGCCGGACGGAGAGGTCTTGACACTGTTGGCTACGTCATCATCGTCAATTCAGGCAGAGATGAAGCCCCCCCGGCTGGTGCTCTGAGAAGGATGATTCTTGGTGATCCGACCAAACTGCGGTCTCAATTCAGGCTTACATACAATATGATCCTGAACCTCCTGCGCGTGGAGGCGCTGAAGATTGAAGAAATGATCAAACGAAGCTTTAGTGAGAATGCTACCCAGGCTCTGCTCCCGGAGCATGAAAAGCAGGTGCAGCTTTCAGAGGCCAGCTTGGCTAAAATCAAACGAGAGCCTTGTGACATATGTGATATCGATCTCGCTGCCTGCCATGCCGCGGCTATCGAATATGAGAAGCTTACTAGTGAGCTCCACGTTGGCCTTCTTTCGTCCCCTGTCGGAAAGCGCCTCTTTGTACCGAAGCGATTGATCGTATACAGAAAGGTAAGCGGAAACCCCTTACTGATAGCCTAGCTTAGCTAACTGGTCCCCAGGAGGGCTTCCGGACTGCGGGTGTCATTGTCCGCGAGGGAGTTACAGGTGGCCAGGCGCCTAGCATACAAGTTCTTGAAATTGGAAGGATAGGAAACAGGCGCCATCCCAGCGATATCCTTCCCTTCCTCCCAAGATTCAAGCACCTCCTTCAATCTTTGCCAACACGTGCTGCCGATATGGCGCTAAAATCGTACAAGGTGCCCCTTCTAGACCTAGAATGCGTCACGAATACGTTGATCAAACTTGGCGGCCCGATATGGTATCTTAACATCAAGAAGGGTGAGTTATTAATTACCAAATATAGGTGGCTTTTGCTGACACCGCGGACAGAGGCGATCAAGTTTGCAGACAAGGAACTATCGAAATATTGTGCCTCATGGACAAGTTCAGTCTGGGATGAAATGGATTGGGCCCGCATCAAAGAGTTACAAGTCCGAGACATACTAGAGAAGCGACAGGCGCAGGCCTCTATTGCCCAATCTTGCAAATGCCTGCAGTGCCCCAGCTTCTTGAAACACGTAAGTGTCGATCAGCTGTGCCCCAAAACATGTCGGCGCTTATACTTACACCCGGCAGTTTGAAATGCAACACGATGAGTGGCAGGTCAAGGAGAACATTTCGCAATTGAAACAGCTAATGTCCGACCAAAACCTTGCCCTGCTGCCTGATTATGAGCAGCGTATCCAGGTGCTGAAAGATCTAGGCTTCGTGGATGAGCAGTCTCGCGTGCAGCTGAAAGGAAAGGTGGCATGTGAGGTGAGTTGCCGAAGTATCCTCCTGTTTCTTATTACGTGCTAAGCATTCGTACAGATCCACTCAGCCGACGAGCTTGTTCTGACCGAGCTGATCCTCGAGAACGTTCTGGCCGAATATGAGCCCGAGGAAATCGTTGCATTGCTGTCTGCATTTGTCTTCCAGGAGAAGACGGAGAACGTTCCCACCTTGACTCCTCGCCTGGAAAAGGGCAAGGAGGCCATTGTCAGGATATCCGACCGGGTGAACGACTACCAAATACAACACCAGGTGATCCAAACTAGTGAGGACAGCAACGATTTCGCTAGCCAGCCGCGGTTTGGTCTGGCCGAGGTTGTCTACGAATGGGCGAAGGGAATGTCATTCAACCGCATCACCGACCTGACGGATGTGATGGAAGGCACCATTGTACGGACGATTACTCGCTTGGACGAGACCTGTCGCGAAGTGAAAAATGCGGCCAAGCTGGTTGGTGATCCGACCTTGTATACGAAGATGCAGCAGGCACAGGAGCAGATCAAGAGAGATGTGATTTTTGCTGCGTCGCTGTACATGTGAAGGGGCCATGGAAGGCAGGGCAACTGGCCAGTGCTGGATGGGCGGTGGTTCTGGGGCGAGGGGAAGGGAAGATCCCACGTGGGGAATGTTTTTTTTTCCTTTTTTTGTTTCTTTCTGTGCCCGAGACGGATGAATGGAGCACGCATGTCAAATAACGGACCCTCCGACTTGATTCAATCAATAGACCCTCTTCTATACATTGTAGTAATTGGCCCTGGAAAAATTCCGCCCAGATTGCCCCCCAGGCCCGAGGCCTCAGGCTGCAGAGAAGCAAAATTCTGCTACCGCGCGTGGCGGCGAGGCCTCTGATTAGCTGCCATAGGCGCGGGGCGGGCACGCTTATTTGAAAAACCACGAGAGAAAACCAAACCCAACAAACCCAAAGGGCACTTTTGCTGTCTGCACACTACTATCAATCATCCCCCCCCCCGCTACTTTATCTCCCTCTCGCCCCCTCCTCCTCCCCCTACATCTCCCGGCTCACCACTGCGTAACGGGGTCTTTACTTTTCGAGCTTGATATTTTATCCCCGGGGGCCCCTTGCTGGTGCGAGATGGATGTTGCAGCTTTACGAGACCGTATACAGTCTACCCTCGATGTCAATGCGGACAATCGGCGGCAAGCTGAATTGGACCTGAAATATGTATGTGTGAAGATAGTCATTGAATTCAGTCGGAATGGCCCTGACTTATTCCCCTTTCTTCTAGGCCGAGACGCAACCCGGCTTTATAAATGCGCTGTTGGATATTTTGCAGGGGGAACAGAACAATGCCGTCCAACTGTCGGGTAGGTTTTTTTTACCGTCGGGCGATCTCCCACCGCCCCTCCGTCGTTCTACTCCACGACGAGCGCCTATGATCTAACGTACAGATGATCTTGTCTAGCCGGTGTTTACCTGAAGAACCGCATCAACCGTGGTTGGTCCCCTATCGAAGACAGCCCGTTGCGCACACCGATTCCCGAGGAGGAGAAACCGGGGTTCCGTGAGAGGTTGATTCCGGCTCTGGCATCCACACCACCAAACGTTCGGGCTCAACTCGTTCCTCTCCTCCAGAAAATCCTTCAGCATGACTTCCCCGAGCAGTGGCCGGGTTTCCTGGACATCACCCTTCAGTTGCTGGGCACCAACGATGCGAATTCCGTCTACGCTGGCCTGCAGTGCCTCCTGGCCATCTGCCGTGTATACCGTTTCAAGGCCGGAGAGAAGAGAGAGGAGTTCGACAAGATCGTTGAGCACTCGTTCCCTCAGCTCTTGAGCATCGGGTTGAAGCTCGTCGATGAGGAGAGCTTGGAGGCCGCGGAAATGCTCCGGATCGTGGTCAAGTCCTACAAGCATGCTATCTACGTGGGTGGACCAAATAGAACTGAGCGGTACATAATATGGGTAGGCTAACTGGGGATGGATAGTTCGAACTCTCGCCGCACCTCCAATCGGAGCGAGCTACTGTGGATTGGTGCACACTTTTCCTTCGCATTATTGCCAAGGATCCCCCCGCCAGCGCCATGCTGGAGTCCAAGGAAGAGAGGGAGCTGAACCACTGGTGGAAGTGCAAGAAGTGGTCTTATGCGAACCTGAACCGTCTCTTTATCAGGTAAGTAGCCTGGCTGGCATATTTGTAGGCGAGTGATTTGACTTGTTCGCAGATACGGAAACCCTACGACGATGAGCAAATCGAGCACTCCCGACTACACCCAGTACGGCAAGGCTTTCATCACGACGTTTGCCCCGGAGATTCTCAAGGGATACCTGCAGGAAATCGACAAGTGGGTGTCAAAGGGACAGTGGCTCAGCAACCCTGCGCTTGCTTATACCATGATTTTCTTGGAGGAGTGTGTCAAGCCGAAGGCCATGTGGGAACACCTGAAGCCTCACATGGACAACTTGGTCGCTCATTTCATCTTCCCCATCCTGTGCCAATCCGATGAAGACATCGAATTGTTCGAGACCGATCCGTCCGAGTACCTCCACCGCAAGCTGAACTACTACGAAGAAGTCTCGGCCCCCGACGTGGCTGCCACCAACTTCTTGGTGGCCCTCACCAAGAACCGCAAGAAGCAGACCTTCTCCATCCTCACGTTCGTCAACGGCATTGTCAGCAAGTACGAGTCTGCTCCTGATGATCAGAAGTTGCCTAGAGAGAAGGAAGGTGCTTTGCGCATGATCGGATCCCTGGCGTCCGTCATTCTTGGCAAGAAGAGCCCCATCGCGGACCAGGTGGAATATTTCTTCGTCCGTCATGTTTTCCCCGAATTCCGCAGCCCCCACGGGTTCCTCAGGGCTCGTGCCTGTGACACCCTGGAGAAATTCGAGCAACTTGACTTCCAGGATCCGAACAACCTCATGATCATCTACAGGAATATCCTTGAGTCTATGACTGACCCCGAGTTGCCTGTCAGAGTTGAAGCCGCCCTCGCTCTGCAGCCCCTCATTCGTCACGATATTATCAGGACTTCCATGCAGCAGAACATCCCGCAGATCATGCAGCAGCTACTCAAACTCGCCAACGAGGTCGACGTGGACGCTTTGGCCAATGTCATGGAGGATTTCGTCGAGGTCTTCTCCGCCGAACTCACCCCGTTCGCTGTGGCACTCAGCGAGCAGCTCCGTGACACCTACATGCGTATCGTCGGTGAGCTCTTGGAGCGGAATGCGGCCAAGGGTGATGAGGATGCGTACGGTGATTTCCTGGATGACAAGAGTATCACCGCTCTTGGTGTTTTGCAGACGATCGGAACTCTGATCCTGACTCTCGAGAGCACTCCTGATGTCCTCCTTCACCTCGAGACCATTCTCATGCCCGTCATCAGCATCACCCTGGAAAACAAACTGTATGATCTTTACAATGAGGTCTTTGAGATCATCGACAGCTGCACTTTCGCGTCCAAGTCCATTTCTCCCACTATGTGGCAGGCCTTCGAACTCATCCACAAGACATTCAAGGCTGGCGCTGAGCTGTACTTGGAAGACATGCTGCCCGCCCTCGACAACTACGTGGCCTACGGCTCGCAAATGATGGTTCAGAACCCCGCCTACCTGGCGGCTGTTGTGAGCATGGTTGAGGACATTTTCCGCGATGAGAAGGTTGGTGGTGTCGATCGGATCTGCGGCTGCAAGCTTGCGGAGACGCTGATGTTGAACCTCCGCGGCGGCATCGATCAATACATTCCCGTGTTCATTGAGCTGGCGATGCGCGTCATCGATGCTGGCGAGGCGCGGACGAAGTCTTACCGCATCCACCTGATGGAGATGGTCATCAACGCCATTTACTACAACCCGGTTCTCAGTCTCCAGGTTCTGGAAGCGAAGGGCTGGACGAACAAGTTCTTCAGCACGTGGTTCTCCAACATCGACAACTTCAGACGGGTCCATGATAAGAAGCTCTCCATTGCTGCCATCAGCTCTCTGCTGACGTTGAATGCTGGCGATGTCCCGGCTAGCGTGCAGCAAGGTTGGCCGAGATTGCTCCAAGGAGTGACCAGACTCTTCCAGACGCTGCCGGCTGCTATGAAGCGTACGTTCATTGATCCGAACTCATTCAATTCTGTACTGACCCCGTTACTAGATCGCGAGGACGCCACTAAGGAGTCTGACTTCACCTTCGATGAGGAGGACGATGAGGGCGACGAGGACAACGACTGGGATGGAGAGATTGAATGGACGGAACAGGACGAGGCTGAGGCTGCCCTGGAGGCCGATGTTCCTGACGACAGTGCTGCCTACCTCGACTTCCTGAACAAGGAGGTAAGTCAACCGATGTCAGGGTTCAAGTTATCTCTGTTAACCATGTCTCAGGCACAGAAGTTCGGATCGTTCACCGATGATGACGATGACGATTTGGATGAGGAAAGCTTGCTGGAGACTCCTCTGGACAAGGTTGAGCCATATGGCATGTTCAAGCACGTTTTCACGAGTACGTTGATCTTTCGCATATATCAGGCGCGCAGTTAATTAATTGACTCTCTCATAGACCTCAAGCAAGAACAGCCTCAGCTGTACGACAGCCTGGCGAAGATCCTAAGCCCCGAGGAACAGCAAGTGATTGAGGCCGTGTTCCACGAGGCCGATGCGAAGGCCGTGGCCGCGGCCAACGCCGAGGCTGCTGCTCAGGCCAATGGGAATTAGACGGCTACGATGAACCCCGAGGGCTGACGAGATGAGCCAGTCGGTCTTTCAGAGGCAACGAATATAAAAAAGAAAAGCAAAATGCCATCCCCGGTTGGATGTCTGTTTTGGCAGGCCTGAGCATCTTCATCATCTGTCGTGCCGACGGCCATGTTGTGGAGCGGTCTGCTGAATACGTTATAACGCCATCTATGCCTTTTCTTCTTCTCTTTCCTTTGTCGTCTAGATCTATTTCTTTTTTGTTCCGTCGAGGTATACTAACCCTCTGGTCATGTCCCCGGTTTTTCTCAAAAGTTCCTTTACCGCAGTCTTGAATCCAGTGATGCTGCAAGACTCGAAGAGATCGATTCCCCAATTAATCCTGTCAATTGACTTATGGTTATAATGTCGGACGTGCGGCCAGATCTATCATCGTTACCGTTGAGTATGACCCATGCTCTGGGGAGGCGCTTCTGTTTAGCGCCCGTGCCTTGAGCCTATAGAAATGTGTAAATACCTGATACTTGTGAATTATATGCTGAGCTCAGTACTGTATTTTGAGCAAACTCTATAGAATTGTAATCATTACAGCATGAAGCAAGCGACCGAAGAACATGTTCGACGAGTCTAAGCATGATACATATAAACCATACGGAGTACTACACAGTGAATGAGTTAAGTATTATCCTTACTCCACTATACCCTCCCTTACCCCACCTATCCTACGGTGTAAAACCAGTGACTGAAGTCCCCAACATATAATCACGTGCGCACAGATCCAGACCAATGTATGACATCATCGCATCTCAGCATCTTCACGAAACACACGAACCCAATGAATAGAAAGCAGAACAGATCATCTCGTCATCTCCATAATCAGTACTCCATACGGAGTAGATAGACCTGCATCTCTAGTACCCAGTAGTAAAAAAATCTAATCCATCTACGTAACCACTCCCCAAACCACATCCTCTCCACAGTACTGTGTATATCGCAGCATCGTATTCATCATCCACCACACGTCATCATGATGTCCCAGAACCAACCCCCCCCCCCCCCCCCTTCCCAACCAACACGACCGGTTCGATTTATATCATACCTCCACTTTTTATCATCGAGATTGATATTTAAGGCCTCTTCTTCCGTATTGTTTGGTACTTAGTACATCTACCTACATACCTCCCTCCCTACCTGGTTATCATCTACGAATCTCAAACAAAACAACAGTAAGTCACACACCCTCCCCTCCAAACAACCCAAAATATTCTAACCCCCTCTAACCCAATCCCCAGAACCACCACCACAACCAAACCACACAGAACAAGCAAAATGTCCGCCCCCCACGCAGGCCGCCAATCCCCCTCCCCCTCGCGCCAAACCGGCGCCCAGCAACAAGACCCTCCCTCCGAGGGCAAGGCGCAGCCGCAGTACGCTCCCCCCGAGCACTCGGCCCAGGACCATGAGTCCCAGACCGCCGGGTTGACGAGTAACCCGAAGCATCCGTTGGAGGATATTGAGAGTGCCAAGTTTACGAAGGGGGGGGTTGCCTGATTTTCTTCCTTTCGTTTCTCTGGTGTTGTATTTGTTTGATTTGGGGAAGGGTTGAAATTGGGAGGGAATGAATTGGATGGATGTATTTATGATGATGGAGTAATTAATTATGGGTTTTATTTTCTTTCGGGGTTATTGATTCTGTAGACATTCGGTTTAGGTATTAATCACGATGGGGAGAAGGTTTAGATGAAGTGTAGACATTGATAGTGGTCATACTTCAGTTGTCAGACTGGATAGATGTAGGGTTATAGCATATATCTCGTGTTGTGATGTATGCTGATCTATCTGTGGTGTTGGAGCATGGCAACTCAAGTCATCTTGATAAGTACTTGGTATACAAATTGTTCAATTATGTATCGCTTGTTCCAGACAGCTAACAGGTAGAAGGAATCACTGAATCATTACATGAACAGTAGAATCATTAGGCGTGTAAATAAAACCTAGTGGTAACTTTCCCAGTCTTATTAAGCCTGTTCCGCAGGAGCGGCAGTACCCGCCGGCTGGGATGCAGGCGCCGTGCTCGGAGCACCAGCAGCAGCAGGGGCCTCACCTCCCTCGGTGGTCTTGCCGCTCTTCAGATCCGCCAGTCGACGAGCCTCCGCATGGATGTCCCGCACCTGCTTATCCGTCTGGGAGTAGAAGTCCCGAAGCTTTCTGCCAGAGGGAGTGCCGAGGGCCTTCTCGAAGTAGTGGTTCAGACTACGCCAGCCAGTGGTCGCCTTGTCGCTGATCTTGTAGCTCTCGTCCAGTCCGCGAGCACGGTCGGTTGCATGGTACTTCTGGTCGAAGCTGCTGAGAGCGCTGGTGAAACGGGAGGAGAACCCGTGCTTCTGGTCCAGGGCAATAGCCTTCTGGATCGCGGTGTCGCTGAGAGTGTAGCCGTGGGCTAGGTACTCAGCCACGATGCGAGAACGGGGCTTATCCTCCTGCTCCAGGTCGTGGTTGTGCTCATCCTTGGCTTGTCCGGCGCTGACGGCTTGCTCGCCCGCGATATCGTCGAGGGTCTGGGCGGCCTTGACGTGGACGACGGAGGGACCCAGCTGGGTGTTGTCGAGGAGCAGAGCGGTCTTAGCGGCACTGAATCATGTTGTTAGCTAAGCTGCAAGATGGAGCCGTGGTGCCAGTGCAAAGTTAGGACCAGGGCGGGTAGGTGCGGGGTAGCTTACGCCTCCTTTTCGAAAGTCACCGTCGCCGATTTTTGGGCTTCGGCTTCGCCAGAAACGGGGGTGACGGAGATGTGGGTGATCTTGCCGCTGTAATAATGTCAGCTGCATAGCTCACGCAAGGGGCACAAATGCCGGCATCACATACCAGAAGCTAAAGAAGTCCTGGACCTCCTTGTCGGTGGTGGCGGGGGCAATGCCCTCGACGTGGACGGTGGAACGCTCAGACATGGTGAAAGGTAGATAGATTGATCGGGTATCGAGGGAATTGGAAATAGATTGAGCAATACTGAAATGGTAGAGTCTGGGAGAGGAAGAGGGGGGAAGCGAGGAGACCAAGTTAGTTATTTAATGTTTAGGGGGCCAAGCACGCCACAGATGACGTCGCGAGGGGCAGGCAGCCGTCGCACAGCCACAGTGGGGCGGCCGCGTCGCCAATTGAGGCAGACGGCCAGCATGTGAAACATTCCTACGGAGTAGTGCTCATAAACATAGTACTATCATCGCTTAGGCAGTAGCATTCTAGTTATTCGTCGGCTCCCCGGAGCGTCTAGACGAAGAAAAAGGAGACCGGAAAAGAAAACCGAGATGTGCGCCCGAACAACCCACTGTCTAATAGATCTGGCCCAAAACAAAGCAAGTGACAGCTGAAAGATCCCGCTTTCCGTAATTCATCCATGTAACCAAGTTCCATACACAATCAATTAGTCAAAGAAGATTCCAGAATTTTCAAGTTCGTTCTCTAGTCACCGCACTAGACGGCTCTTTCAGGTCTTTTGTAGGAGTGGATGCGGCCTCGACCTCTTCCTCATGAGTGAGAACCGACTCCTGATCCTGAAGTTTCGTGACAGTAGACTCGAGCTCTCTGATACGTCGACGCAGCATCTCGTTCTCGCGCTTGAGCGATTCGACTTCCCCACGCTGGTGTGCAACTTCATCATGGCGAGTAGAACTGCTGATGGGTGTCTTATGAGAGACCGAGCTGCGGTGTGGATAGCTGGCGGTGTGATGTAGCTGGTCAGTCGGCTGGTTCTGATGGATTGATCCTAGTGTCGGCAACGCTCCTTCCGACTGCCGAGGGGAAGTGAGAGATGATTCCCTGCTTCGTCCCGGTCGTGAGGGATCAGGACGTGCTGAAGGAATGTATGTATCTCGCGCGGGTGCGATGCCAGAAACACTTCCTGCTCTCGACCCTTGAACTGCTGGAATGTAGGAGGAGCTCAGACTGGACGATGAGCGGTGCCTTCGTGATGCCGTAGGGTGTGCAGTGTTGATAATGTATGGGGATGCATGGAGTGCATCTACGGAGTCGTTAAGCGTGGTCGATGTGGAAGATGCCGTCGATGCGACCGAGTTCGTTTGCTGACGAAGAAGGGAAAGCTCTCGCGATAGGCGGTTTACCTATGACAGAAACTGGTCAATATCGACGGAGAAATGAAAGATTCAATGTATTGTACCATAGCCTCCTGTTCTTGCTCGAGCATCGAATGGATATCAGAAGGAGTGAGCGGTTTGGGATGCCGCAATGGACCTAGACACAGTTAATTGAGGTACTTTGTAAACTTTCTTTGTCTATGACAGCGACATACCTGACGCAGACATAATATTTACCTGGTCGCTAGCTACTGGAATGGGATTTGTATGAGTGCTGGGCGTGGATGCAGCAATAGCTGGAGGCATGGCTTGTGAAGGGCGTCGAGATGATAAGGATGTGGTGGTGGGTTGCATCGCAGTGGCAGCCCGAGGTCGCGATCTGGGACAAGAAAGAGGGACGGGGTCTAGTTCGGACGCCATAATCATATATAGGCCGGGGGGGGGGGAACAATCGAGTGTGCTCAGTGGTGGGAGAGACGAGGAGTGGAACAGGACGGATCGGAAGCAGCAGCTAATTTGATAGGTATAGCCAGCGGAGTCAATCCAGTGAAGGCCGTCCGGCGGGCGGAGGATGTATGGAATATGGATGGATGGATGCTGGGGAATGGCCGGGGCAAGCAACACTAGTTCGAGCAACAACAGAACTTAGTAGTAGAGTCGGTGGCAGACCAGCACAGGCTGCAGGCCCGCCCCTTGATTGGATTGACTGGAATTTCAAAACATACCAACCACTACTCCGTAAGCCACCGTGGATTTGCGCGAGAATTCTTCAGCTGATGGAGCCGACACGCATGGAACCTATCATCCACCATCCACCATCCATCCTTTGCCAGTCCCTGTCCTTCATGATCCTCTGGATGGGCCTGGGACCTTACCCCGGGTCCAGAGCTTAAACTTATGAGGAACTAGAAGTCTTCCCCAGCCTTCTTGAGTGGGCTGACCAGGGGATATCCGGCTGAACGTCGAAGTTTATATTTGGGTCGGAGTTCCTGCCAATGGTAAAAGTATCTCAGTCACTGTCCAACGTCCACTGTTTCCCAGTTCTCCCATGGCACAGCCGGTTGTGCGTCGAATCCATCTGACCGCATAATTACACCAAGGCTGTCGGTCGAATTTCTCTTTACTCCACCATCGCGCTATGCTGCTCTAGTATTGCGTTCGGGAATCCCTCGGATTTCCTCAGATGCATGGCTCTCGATCTATACATAGAGCTAAGGCAGGAGGACCCCATCCTGAGGCCATAGTGAGGCCCACTTAAGGCACCGATTAAGTTGCTCTGTCAGATCCTCCAGAGGCAGTCTCACCAATGGATGATGTCGTATTTGCCAATTCTGTGAATTGCAGCATAAGAATAGCAGTGCGTGTCCTCGCCTTCCACTAGACCCAATCTGGGTTTTATGCGGCCTTGCAGATGTGGTTGTGGGCAGGCGAATTGCTGCATGCTTATCGTCTTACAAGGCGGTGTGGGGGGTCCCACCGGGTCGTATGGCGTGTTGCGACTGGAGATATGGAGCCAACGTCTGTAAATAGGACCGGGTCTGTATATCATTAGATATGGATATAATGTATACGCCCCAGCAAGGCGCAATTCTATCCGCACAAGTCCAAGCCCAATGGCCTCAATCAAGGGCATCTTCAAAGCCAAAGGTGGGACTCGCCCCGGCCAGTGCGTTGAAAAGCGGCACCGCGTCGGGCCGAGTCAGTCAACACAGAAAGGCGGAGGAAGCTCCAGCTCCGACTCCTCCGCAAAAGACTACAGAATAGCTCTCGACTAGCGCATACCACTGACACTCCGTCTGCTTACAGTCTGGCCCCATGGCCCAATCCACCGAAGCTACTCACGCGACTTCCGCCCACATTCCCGCGATTGTCAAACCACTGGCGCCTTACATCAAGAGCCGCCAAGAGACCCTCCGTATCCGACAAGCCTTGACCGTCTACCTACGTTCGCACATTGACTTCGCTGAGAACGATCCCGAACACCCCGGCTGTCACAGCCAGTCCCATCTCTCGCTTTCCGTGCCCCACGATACGGTTGTCGACGTGAAGCGCATTCCACCGGAGCTGACGGGGTTGCGGAAAGAATACCTGGAGGCGCTGCGAGCGAATGTGGTGGCGAGGAAGAACTTTCAGTCTGCGGTGGAGAAAGCAACTTCTATAAGGCATAAGGGGGGCAAGGCTAGAGCGGAAGAATTATCCGTGGGCTCATCTTTGGAATTACAGGACTATCTGAAACTCCTTCGCGACCGTCGTCAGCACGCAAAGCTTCAGGTTTTCCAACATTACTTGCAGGAGCTCAAACAGCGGGATACGTTCAAGTCAGGGGACTTGGAAGCCAATGGTGCCCGGTATCAGCAGCTTGTGCCGCCAGAGGCACTCGAGGATATCCAACATGGCTCCCAATCAGGAGAGAGCATTGAAGAGCTGATGCACAAGCTGGAAAGAGCCATCATCCGCGCCAAGGCCCAGCTGGAGAGAGAAAAGGGGCTGCTGGAAGATCTCAAGGCACGATGCGCGTTGGAAGGGCCCCGGGATGTATCACCCGCAACCAAGGTCTTGGCATTACAGCGAACGCGGAACGAGTTGGTGCATTGGGTGGAGGAAAAACTGGTGAGTGTTGGAAACAGCGAAAACAGTGGAGCCGCCCAGGACTTCCGTCCCAAAGACATCGAGGAGTCTGTGCGCCTCCTGGAGGAGAAGAAAGCACGGATCGCGCAACAGTATGCGGCGTATGCGGACGCTCGCAAACGCCTTCTAGATGCAGCCTCAAGAGCTTGCCAGCCGATCGCTCTTCCATCCACAACCCCCCCAACTCGATCTCCTAGCATAATCCAAGGTAAAAGCGCGACGGAGGAAACCCAATCGCTGGATGCATTGGAAGTTCTTTCTTTTACAAATGACGTCCTTCAGCCGCTGTCCAAGAGTCAGCGAGCACTAGCCTTACAGAAGTTCTACTTATCCGGTATACTTGCCAAGGAGAAAGCCACAACCCTTCGTGTCCTCAACCGGCTGCGTGATGAGAGTCATTTACTCCCCGAGTATCCGATCCTTGCCCGCCAACCGCGATTCAAGCACGCGACAGCCGCCCTAGCTTCGCGCCAGGCTACGAACTCCGAACCTGCTAAGCCAGACGACATTGTTAGTTTGGCTGAGGCTTGGGCATTTGCTTCGAGTGCAGCAGGAACAAGCGAGCAGGAATACGTGGAGCACAAGGTAGAAGAAGGAACCGAATCAGCGCAGGATGCAAAGCATGTGCTGGGAGCTGTCTACGATATGCTCAACCAGAACCTTGAGTATACTCTACAAGACCGTGATGATGAAACGGGCGAGAATGATATCTGGGCGTCAGAGGCGCGATTGACCCGGTCGCGAGCCAAGACGCAGCGGATGCAGCAGTCAGCCAAAGGCCCATGGGTTAGGCTGCATGGCCAAGTGGGTGTTGCAGAATGATATACCTGTACTATATAATATACGAGGATGCGGTTGGATTAAACAAATATAAACTACGATTAATATTGACACTACAGGATAAAGTTGTATTCAGAAGCCATGTGCCGTTACTCCGGCTCTTGTGATCACGGAGCATTAGACGAGCAGCCTAGAAAGTTTAGATAGGGAGGAGGTGGTTTCCGACCATGGAGACCCTCCGAAAGCCGGTGTTCGCCTGGCGAGATGCTATTCGCGCGGTAGCGAGCAGTGCAGGCTGGGCGGAGACTAGAAAGGCATTGATCTACTTGGCGAACCACAAAAATTTCCTTGAAGGATTGATAACTGCGAAGGACTAGGTAGTCAGTCTAGTTGAGCTCGGATGGTCTGTTCGTTGAACTGTTCATGAGTCAGACTGGCCTTAAGGGGGTGTCTAATAGCAATTGAATAATGATTATCCTATAGCAAACCCCGTCTATCCACTGTTACGGCAGTAAAGCTGGGACCGCGACCCCTGGGAGCTGAGGACTGGGACGACTATCAAGCATATTAGTGATCGGTATTGCTAACCGCGGGCTCCATTGCTGCCACTACTGCCGCTAGCGACCACTTAGACTTGCCCCCGAACCAGTTAGCCTGCAGCGCCCATCACCGGGGCTGCACCTACCCGTTGAATCGGATTGGTCCAGTCACCAGGCGGTGAGTGGCTGGGCCCCCTTCTGGGGGGAATTCTGGAGTCCCAGCGAACCTGAAATGCAAAAAAGGTAAAAATGAAAAAAAAAAAAAGGCTCCGCACACCGGAGCTCTTATCGGCCTCCAAGGTTGGGGCATTGGTTGCTTTTCGGAACTCCCATTCGACTCGGTCGGCAAGCCTTCTCCATTTTGGCTGGTTCTGGTCTCCAGGAAAAAAAGTGCCGCATTGACTCATCGCCGCTCCCGCACCTTTTCCTTTACTTCCTCGTTTCGTCCCCTCTTCATCTCCTTTAGCCATTCTTCCTTTCACTCTTACTCTGAAAAGTCCGTTTGGGCATTCATCTCCCTTTAAGTCCTCCCCTTTGGTCGTGGGCGTGTGGCATAAAGCGGAACTTCAGGAGCTTAATCCTTGGCCTTCAAAGGGTTACAGAAATCCCACAGAGCCGGGCCAAAAGCGGAGTCTCCAGATTCTCCTCTCCGGAACTCTGAAGTAGAGGGTACTCCTCCTCTCAATTGACTCATCCCTTTCCCTACCAACTTTTTCCCCTGTCCTTTCCTACCAGCGCAGTGCGCAATGGTTCTCGCTACTCGTTGTGGGCAGGCTACGTCCGCCCTCCTGCGTCAGCGTTGTCTGGCCGAGTCTCGTCGTTCGGCCCTCGCTTTGCGCCCATTTTCCTCCCAGACCACCGCTCACTCGACGGCTTCGAGTCTCAGATTGAAGACTCCTTCGCCATGGCGACCGCAGCAGCTGCGCTCTTTCTCTAGCGCCCTCCGCCGCCTGGCTTCGGAGTCCTCGACCGCTCCCTCCGCCGACAGCTACCTCGCCAGCGGAATTGTGAAGCCCGGTAGCAAGTTGGTTGATGTCAAGAAGGTTCTGGTCATCGGTAGTGGTGGTCTGAGCATTGGACAGGCCGGAGAGTTCGATTATTCCGGTAAGTTGAATGACTCATTGAATCCTCGAGTTATCGCACGATGACACTCTGCACCTCTTCTGATGGTTCGCGATCAATTCAGCGAGGCCTCACGGAGTGGAGACGGGACCAGTCATAACTTGAAACGAGGTATTCCAATCGAACAGCGTTGCTAATATCGATCTCTCCAATAGGTTCTCAGGCTTTGAAGGCCCTCAAGGAGGCCGGTGTGCAGTCCGTTCTGATCAACCCCAACATCGCGACCATCCAGACCGATCACAAGCTTGCAGATGAAGTGTACTACCTTCCGGTTACCCCCGAGTATGTCACTTATGTCATCGAGAGGGAGAGACCCGATGGTATCTTCCTTTCCTTCGGTGGTCAGACCGCCCTGAACCTGGGTGTGCAGATGAACCGCATGGGTATCTTCGAGCGCTACGGCGTACGCGTTCTTGGAACGAGCATCAAGACCCTGGAGACCAGTGAGGACCGTGATCTCTTCTCCAAGGCCCTCAACGAGATCAACATCCCCATCGCCGAGTCCATCGCGGTCAGCACCGTCGATGAGGCCCTGAAGGCTGCGGAGACTGTGGGATACCCCATCATTGTCCGTTCCGCATACGCCCTGGGTGGTCTGGGTTCCGGTTTCGCTGCCAACCCCGAGGAGCTGAAGAACCTGTCGTCTCGCTCTTTGACTCTTTCTCCCCAGATTCTGGTCGAGAAGTCTCTTCGCGGCTGGAAGGAAGTGGAATACGAGGTCGTCCGGGATGCTGACAACAACTGCATCACTGTTTGCAACATGGAGAACTTTGATCCTCTTGGTATTCACACTGGTGACAGTATTGTCGTTGCCCCCAGTCAGACCCTGTCTGACGAGGAGTACCACATGCTCCGTACTGCTGCCATCAAGATTGTCCGCCATCTGGGTGTCGTGGGTGAATGTAACGTTCAGTACGCTCTTCAGCCTGATGGACTTGACTACCGTGTCATTGAGGTCAACGCTCGTCTCTCTCGTTCCTCGGCTCTGGCGTCTAAGGCGACTGGCTACCCTCTCGCTTACACTGCTGCGAAGATCGGTCTGGGCCACACTCTTCCCGAGCTGCCTAACGCTGTTACCAAGACCACCACTGCCAACTTCGAGCCCAGTCTGGACTACATCGTCACCAAGATCCCCCGGTGGGATCTGAGCAAGTTCCAGCACGTCAAGCGGGACATCGGTAGTGCCATGAAGTCTGTTGGTGAAGTTATGGCCATCGGCCGTACTTTCGAGGAGTCTTTCCAGAAGGCTATCCGCCAGGTTGACCCTCAGTTCCTTGGTTTCCAGGGTGACAAGTTTGAGAACCTCGACGAGGTCCTGCAGAACCCCACCGACCGCCGCTGGTTGGCTGTTGGCCAGGCTATGCTCCACGAGAACTACTCGGTGGACAAGGTCCACGAGTTGACTAAGATCGACAAGTGGTTCCTGTACAAGCTCCAGAACATCGTGGACTGCAACAACGAGCTGAAGGAGATCGGCAGCCTCTTTGGCCTCCAGAAGGAGATTCTGCTGAAGGCCAAGAAGCTCGGTTTCTCCGATAAGCAGATTGCTCTCCTTGTTGGCTCCACTGAGGACGACGTCCGCGCCCGCCGCAAGTCGTTCGGCATCAGGCCCTGGGTCAAGAAGATTGACACCCTCGCTGCCGAGTTCCCCGCTGACACCAACTACCTCTATACCACCTACAACGCTACCTCCCACGATGTTAGCTTCGATGACCACGGTATCATCATTCTGGGAAGCGGTGTCTACCGTATTGGAAGCTCCGTCGAATTCGACTGGTGTGCCGTCAACGCTACCCTCTCCCTGAGGAACATGGGCAAGAAGACTGTCATGATCAACTACAACCCCGAGACCTACTCTACTGACTTCGATACTGCTGACAAGCTCTACTTCGAAGAACTCAGCTACGAGCGTGTCATGGATATCTATGAGCTCGAGAGCGCCAGCGGTGTTGTTGTGTCTGTCGGTGGCCAGCTTCCTCAGAACATTGCCCTCCGTCTGCAGGAGACCGGCGGTGCCCACGTGCTTGGAACGGACCCCAAGGACATTGACCGTGCCGAGGACAGACACAAGTTCTCTCAGATCCTGGACAGCATTGGTGTTGACCAGCCCGCCTGGAAGGAGCTTACCTCCGTGGCTGAGGCCGAGCGCTTCGCTGAGGACGTTGGATACCCCGTTCTGGTTCGTCCCAGTTACGTCCTGTCTGGCGCTGCCATGAACGTCATCTACAGCGTCGACGAGCTCAAGGAGAAGCTCCTCAACGCCAGTGCCGTCTCCCCCGACCACCCTGTCGTCATCACCAAGTTCATTGAGGGTGCCCAGGAGATCGACGTTGACGCTGTTGCCTCCAACGGTAAGCTGCTGTTGCACGCCGTCAGTGAGCACGTCGAGCCCGCTGGTGTGCACTCCGGTGATGCCACCCTTGTTCTCCCCCCTGCCAACCTGGAGAAGGCTGTCATGGGTCGCGTCAAGGAGATTGCTGAGAAGGTTGCTAAGGCCTGGAACATCACCGGTCCTTTCAACATGCAGATCATCAAGGCCGATGTTGAGGGCGCTCAGCCCGAGCTGAAGGTCATTGAGTGCAACCTCCGTGCTTCCCGTTCCTTCCCCTTTGCTAGCAAGGTTCTGGGCACCAACTTCATTGATGTTGCCACCAAGGCCCTGGTCGGCCGTGATGTTCCCGAGCCCGTGGATCTCATGAGCGTCAAGCGCGACTACCTTGCCACCAAGGTTCCCCAGTTCAGCTGGACCCGTCTTGCTGGTGCCGATCCTTTCCTCGGTGTCGAGATGGCCAGTACTGGTGAGATTGCCTGCTTCGGTAAGGACGTTGTTGAGGCCTACTGGGCTTCCCTGCAGTCCACCATGAACTTCCGTGTGCCCGAGGCTGGTGAGGGTATCCTGCTCGGCGGTGATATCAACAACCCTGCCCTGGCCCAGATTGTCGAGTACCTCCAGCCCCTCGAGTTCAAGTTCTTCGCTGCCAGCCCCGTTGTCAAGGAGCACCTTGAGTCCGTTGCCAAGGTCCCCGTGCAGGTGATTGAGTTCCCCAAGGAGGACAAGCGTGCCCTTCGTGAGGTCTTCCAGAAGTACAACATCCGTGGTACCTTCAACCTTGCCAAGACCCGCGGCAAGACCCTCCTTGATGAGGACTACGTTATGAGACGTAACGCTGTCGACTTCGGCGTGCCTCTCTTCATGGAGACTAAGGTATGACGACCGTCTTTCGATTCGATCCCTCAATTCAATGCTAACTGTTTCTTTCCAGACTGCTCTGCTCTTCGCCCAGGCCATGAGCCAGAAGATGCCCCGTGCTGAAGGCATTCCTTCCGAGGTCCGCACCTGGTCCGACTTCACCGGCGGCAAGCTCCTGTAAACGCGAGTTTACGCACGACAAGGACCAAAAGTTTGATTTCATAGATATAATTACGGTTGTGTATTCATTCATGTTTGCAGGCACAGAAAAGCCGCCGTGTTTGGCGTAGCGGATAAGGCTCCATGTTGATAGATATGTTTACTTAGCCCGGGGATTTGGGCTTTCTGTCGCGTCTTCCAAAAAGCGATATCTGTGGTTCTTTTTCTTTCTGAATGGTTGGCCTTGTGAATGATTCTCTCTGGTGCCTTTTCTTCGCAGTCTATAGGTTTGTAGGCAGGCTTTGTGCTTGAGCGAAAAGGACAATGTTCGATGATTCAGTTGTATGTAGTATAGCATGTTTAGTATATCCAATCTCAACTTCTTATGACAATTCTTGGCTTGTCAGGACGCATATAGATTGGATGCCCTTAAATTGGCATTGTATTTCTTCGACCATCCGGTATAAGTGATTCTTGTGCCCCTGTGCCAATATCACTTGGACATGTAGTTTGCCTTGACTGGAGATCTTCAGAAGCCCCAAGTAGAAACGTTTTTCCATCCCGGCCACCATCCTGAGCTTGGACGAAAAAGGAAGTGCTTGTATACCAACAGACACTATAGAACAATAATCGCATAAACGAACCACCCTGTCTTCAGCCGGTCGACAGACCTATTGAGTGAGTCTGCTTGATCAGGACAATCCATGTCTACCAAAACCACACCACGTCCCGTCCCGGGTCTAGGAAGAGGTCTCTTCGCCTTGACAGATATTGCCGTGGGCGAAAATGTGCTTGATATCCCAATCCCCTTTGTGGCAGTGCTAAACACCGATCGTCTCGAAGATACCTGTTCCGGATGCTTTGGTCAGAGGCAGTTGGAGGATGAAAAAATCACCCTCAAAGCCTGTACAGGATGTCAGGTCGTGAAATACTGTGATAAGGTTGCATCTATCTCCAAACGTCCATTTTCCCCCCACACCCGACAACACTAACTCTCCCCCAGACATGTCAAGGAAAAGATTGGAAGTTCGCCCATGCTCTCGAATGCTCGATCTTCCGGAACTTACAACCTCGTGTACTACCCATCAACGCACGAGCCATGCTCCGTATGGTCTTGCGCCATGGACGCGGCAAGTACTCCAGCGAAGAGCTGGACCAGTTTCTCCAGCTCGAAACCCACATCAAAGACGTCCGGGAAAAGAATGCCCCTCAATGGGAGCGCATTTCCCTCACCTCAAAGGCAGTCAAGGCCTACTCGGGCACCGACATGAGCGAGGAGGTCATCTCTGCCTTCGGAGCCAAGGTCAGCACCCACCCTCCTACCCTATCCTATGCTAACCCCTCTCCAGCTCGAAATCAACGCCTTCAACCTCACCAACGCCATCTACGACCGCATCGGCGCCTACTGCCACCCCTACGCCGCCCTCATCAACCACAGCTGCGCCTACAACTCCATCGCCAGCTTCGACGGCCCAACCCTGGTAATCAAAGCCCTCCGCCCCATCCCCAAAGACTCCCAAATCTTCATCTCCTACATCGACGCCACAAACCCCTACCCACGTCGCCAATCCGAACTCCAAGACCGATACTTCTTCACCTGCCGCTGCCCCAACTGCGAAAAAGAAGCCACCGCACCACCCCCTCTCAGCGTCGCCCAAGAAAAGGCCTACAACATCTTATCCTCCATCTCCTCCATCCCCCCAACTGAAGCAACCCACTCCCTCTGCTCCGCAATAACCCTCCTCAAAACCTCCGGAGAGCCGCTAACCACCCAACCATCCATCACCCTCCGTGACGAACTCATCTCCACCCTCCTCCTCAGAGGGAAGTTCAAATCCGCCTTCGCGCACGCAGCAGTCCGCTATCGCCACACTGACCCGGTCGTCTATCCCTCCGCAACTCATCCACTTCGACAGGTCCATGCATGGACGTTAGCGAAACTGGCGATTCATTTGTCAACCGGGATCGAACCACACGGCACTAATACAACTACTAGTGATGGGGAAGGAGAGGAGGAAATTGCGTTGGAGCAATTCGAGGTAGATTTTGGTTTAATTGTTTGGTCTGTGTTGAAAGGGTTGGTGAGTGTGGAAGAGACGGGGGCCACGGGGCCTGGGTTTAAGAGGATGGTGAGGAAGGCGTTTGGGGAGGTTCATGGGGAGTTTTTGGCGGGGGGGTTGGATCCTAGGGGCTTGGGGGAGAAGATTAAGGTCGAGTGGGGGAAGGTGGATAGGTTGGTGGGTGCGGTGGTGGGAAAATAAATAATTATATATATATATATATATATATATATATATATATATGGATTTACTATGGATTGGACTGGGTTGGGTTGAATTGTATAGCGTTCAAGGGGTCAAGTGAGTGGGAAGATGAATGTCTTGGATCAAATTACGTGACGTGAATGAAATGAAATCGTTAAATTAGACTTCCGTCCTAGCTATGCGACAGCGAAGTCTCTGCCCCCAGTCTAAGTAAACTGAGGGCTGGATCTTGATTCTAGGATCCGGTTGGTTCGTTCTCATGCCGACAAGACCTTTATATTGAGATGCAAACAGCTGACCCGCACTTGACATACAAGTAGATGAACCCAAAGAAATGCATATTGGTATCCATCCATTTTTTCGTAGATCCTCCCAGCACATCCGGACGCCCGATCCTCCACACGACACCCCATAAAGCTTTTCTTCTTTACTTGAGGGGAATGAAACGGGAAGAGTGGGTGGCACCGATACCGGGACGACCGTGCTTGACGGGCTTGCTGTGGGGTTGTTAGACGGATGTCTCCGCTTGCACTAGGTGTAGAGAGGGTGGGGGATACGTACTAGGAGATGGAGAATTCACCCAGGTAGTGGCCAACCATCTCGGGCTTGACTTCGATCTGGTTGAACTCCTTACCGGAGTAGATGCCGATGACGCTGCCGATCATCTCGGGGACAACGATCATGTCACGGAGGTGGGTCTTGACGAGGTCGGGCTTCTCGTTGGGCTTGGCCTCCTGCTTGGCCTTGCGGAGCTTCTTGATAAGACCCATGGGCTTGCGCTTCAGACCGCGGTTGAAGCGACGACGAGCGCGGGCGTGAACGACATCACGGAGCTGTTCGGAGGAGAGGTCGAGGAGCCTGTGTTGGAAACCAGGTCAGATTTTGCTGCTTTCTTTTTTTTTTTTTTTTTCTCGTCTATATCCGTCTGATACCACCCCTCCCTGAGCCATCGACTCCCACGACGATTTCCGCAAAAGATCCATATCCATCATGCTGATATCGGTCGTTCGGAGTCGAGGCCGGAAAGAGTGCACAGGAATGATCATGGTGAAACATACTGGTCGAGGTCAATACCGCGGTAGGTGAACTTGCGGAACTGTCTCTTCTTCTTCAACTCTGTTCGCGGATATACGTCAGCGCCTGTGTTCCTTCACTTCATGCTGCGTGGGTTCGTAGTCGTGTGCGGAGAAAGATTATATCAAAAAAGCGTCGACAGAAATCCGGTCCGGTGTATCCATCCAACATCCAAGTCGCATCATCGAAACATATCCATCTCATCGCATTCCCAACCGATATACCGTATTCCGCAACGCATATTTGTGTTTGTCTCCGGGGTCCAGGGCAGAAAGGGTGAAATCAGGTAAAAATTAAAACGTACCGGCAGCCTCCTCGGCGTTCTGCAGAAAACCATGTTAGTTCAATTGCCCCCCTTCCTTTATACCAGACTCAGATAGCGGAGAACTCACGTAGTGCTCGTCAGCCATTTTTGCGGGTGTTCCTCTCAAGGTCGCTTTCCGAACGGGACTCGAAAAGCGAAGGGACGATGGGTTGTCGTGTCGTGTCGCTGATGAACGTTCGTCGGGCGTCTCTTGTGCCTCTGCGCTGGGTTGGGAGGTGGGCTGGAGCCTCGTCTAAGCGACTAGTCTAGGGTTGTGACCCTACCACGCTAGGCCGCTTTGGGAAGGCCTCTGTAGGGCCGCTGGTCCAGGTGCCCTAAAGATTGGTATGGGGTATGCCTTTGGATATGGATTCTGCGGGCGCTCATTGGCTTACGATGTTGTTTTCAATGGTCTTGCAAGTGCTTATCAAGTATATGCCGTGCCTGCAAATCCATGGGGCATATAAATATGCAAGCGTGTGCTACAGGTAAAAAACTGGGGCATGCATCAAATTACGTTTACATAGTAGAACATCAACTCAATCGGGAGGTCAGAGAATCTGTATTGGCTAAAGCTTTTTCCAGCTCACGTATGCATAGATCGTAACTGCATCAGAAAAGCCTGGTGTATCCCGGCTTGACTAGACCAATGGGCAATTTTCCTCCCAAGACTGAAAATAACCGCCAGATTCCTGTTCCCCCACGAACTGTCACGTTTTTCTCGGTTCGGAGCGAGGCGCTTAGTCGAACAGACCGAAGCCCATGTCCTCATCGGACTCCTCCTTCTCCTCCTCCTTCTCCTCAGCGGGAGCGTCGGCAGCAGCGGCGGCACCACCGGCAGCGGGGGCGGCAGCGGCACCAGCACCGCCGGAGGGAACGGAAGCGAGCTTGGTGGAACCCTCAGCGATCAGCTGTGGTAAGAATTTTTGTCAGTATGAGGCTCGAATGTCGCATTTGCATGGTTCAGGTGTAACTGACCTCCTGGAGGTCCTTGCCCTCGAGCTCAGCGATGAGCTTCTGGAGGCGCTCCTCATCGGCATCGATGCCGACGGCGGAGAGGACGCCCTTGATGTCCTCAGTGGAGGGGCTGGCGGTGCCAGCAAGGGACAGGAGGAGGTAGGCAGCGAGGTACTTCATTGTGAATCTGCAATGAAACGGGTCAGGAGGATTGCGACGAGGGAAGATGCGAACGGAGAGTGCGAGTGGTAACGTACAGTTTTGGTGATGAACACGAGAATCAATCGATTTAACCGCAAAGTTGGGCGGAGACTGAAACGTCGAGTTCGCTGGGGGTTTAGCGATGTGATGGACGGAAAAAGAGAAGAGTAGAATCGGAGCTCGAAAATCGAGAAAAGTGCGATGCGGCTGGTGGATGTGGCTGGTGCGGATCGTGCTAGTTCCGGCTAAGCGAGATGCCGTGGCGCATGCGGCAAACTCCATGCCTTGGGCCCCGGTCACGTGGGGTCGCTGGTTCTAGAAGACAGGATGGCGACTTCCTGCACCGTTTTCGCCCGGCGGCCTTATCTGGACGACCTCGTTGTGTCCAGCTGTCGCTTCTCCAGCATCGGTTGCATGCCCTTTTCACGTCGTGCCTCATGTCTGGCTCCAGGACGTGAATCCGGCTTATCTCCTAGTCTGGAATCTCGATTTTTAGTGGTTCCGCAACGAAGTCATGAAGTTACCCCGTCAGACGAACCACCGACGGTGAACCTATTCTTCTTTGTGACTCCACAGATTCGATAGCTTTTCGCGCTTTCTTGGTTATCAGGCGACAAAATGAGTGTAAGAACCCCGGGTCTCGCGCAGTTTGATGGCCCTGCTGACCAGACGACAGTTTCTTGATTCTGTTCTTTCGTCCATCGAGACGGGCAAACCGTCTCCAATTCCACCCACCTCCACCTCTCCGTCGCCTCCTGTATCCTCCGCGAATGCTAAGGCAGAGGTTCGCAAGCCGACTGCCGTTCCTCGAGATCGCGCTCCCGAGCGCAAACCTCTTGTTGCTGGAATTAAACGGAAGGCTGAGGAGCAGTTGCCCCGTCCCGCAAAACCTGTTCCCCCGGTACCCGCCAGGACAACTGTCACGACTACGACGAGGCCTGCCACATCCACGGCCCCTAGGCCTCGTCCTGCTGCTCCTTCTACCACGGCGACGGCCGCAATCAAGAGCCGCTCGTCCACTCCGCAGAAGGCACCCCCAGTGTCATCGAAGCCCCCTCCTAAAGGCTCTTTCGCGGATCTCATGGCGAAGGCTAAGCAGCTACAACAAAAGGCCCCGACTCAAGTGGGCATGTTCAAACACCAGGCTGCACCGAAAGAAAAGCTCAGCAAGGTGGAACGCAAGAAGAAGGCGGCGGAGGCAACATCTAAGGAGAAAGATGCGCGGTCGGCGAAGAAGCCTGGCGTTGCTCCTGGTGCAGCTGCAGGCACTAAACCTGGCGACGGCAAGGTCGTTAAGAAGCGAGAACCCGAGCCACTATCTTACAAAGGCACTGCACGACCGACTCCGACTGCTGCAAGCCAAAATGAATACCGAGGAACTTCCGGCCTGCCTCCGCGAAAGACCTCTGCCGATCGAAAGGCACAGTCACGAGCCAGTAAACGGTCTCGAATGGACGAGTACCTGGGGACCGATGAAGAAGACGAAGGAGAGTATGCGGATGACTACGATGACTACTACTCGGAATCGTCCGATATGGAGGCGGGCCTGGACGCCATGGAGGAAGAAGAAGCTGCCGCACTGGCGGCGGCCAGACGGGAGGATGAGGAGGAATGGCGCGCGGAGCTGGCAGCCAAGCAGCAGAAGCTGGACCGCCGCAAGAAGCTGACCGCTTTGGCGGCACGCCGATAAGGAGCCCCGATGAGCTCCCACAATCTATAATCAACAACTATATCCCGCTAGTAAATTCACCCGGACTTCAGCATTTTCGTGGAATCCTTTTGTTTTTGGAACCGGAGCATCAGCGAGGAATACCCCGAGGGTGCGTTACATACGACGTTACTAGTCTTCTTTGTTTTCATTTGTCCTTTCTGTACCATTTGGATGAGCATCAGCGAGCGTCAAGGTGTCGATAGATGGAGGGTCAGTCTCTTTCTTCATTTCACTTCACATATTATCAAGTTACATACAATAACGGGCGTCACCGTCACTGTCACTGTCACTGTCCTTGTCGTAGATTTGAATGAGATTGGAGAGCTTGAATAGACTATATCTGCCTGTCAGCGTCATTGCTGGTAATCCTTCGACGACCGGTTCTTATCGACCCCATTTGCCCCACCCGTAGGCGGTGACATCACTGGTCCCTCTGCGACTTGCTTCTTGACTCGGGCTTCCTCTCCATTGCTTTGCAAATAATCAATCCCCTCGTCTTCCCAGGACATATTATCTCTCCTGCTACACGTACAGCTTCGAGCAACACGATCGCTAATTCCCTTCTCATCATGGAGTCGGTGCACCATGTGTCGGCCTCTTCCAAGGTCCTACTAAAGAAGGTGCGCAATTTGGTACCTCCGATGCTCGAGAAATTCCACAAAGGTAGGCCTTTGACAAGACTGGGCGAAGCCTACATTAGGAACTTATTCCTGACACATCGAAGGTCAACAGGGACGTGTTGCCGTTATTGGAGGATCCTTAGAGTATGCTCCCACTTTCAGTCCATATAGCGCCGATTGCGCTGATAGTGTTCAAGTTACACAGGAGCTCCCTACTTTTCTTCAATGGCATCGGCTCGACTAGGTAAGCTATCTAGTTGCTGTTAGTATGAGTATCTGTAAGCTGACATGGCATTGCAGGATGTGACATGGTACGCTATTCACGGGGAACCACGACCGTGGTGGGATACTTTCTGACAGGTCACAGAGCCATGTAATCTGCGACAAGTCGGCTGCCGTTGTAAGTTCCAGTTATCAAGGTGTCTGAACCGGGTTGCCATTGACGTGGATAGGTCATCAAAACTTATTCCCCGAATCTAATGGTCCACCCGATACTGCCAAGCAGCGACACCGTCAAAAACCCCGAGTCCATTGACGCTCCGTCACTCGCTAGTCCCATTATCGCTATGATTCCTCGCCTCCACTGTCTCGTGATTGGACCGGGTCTAGGTCGCGACGGAGTCACGCTCAAGGTGGTAGCGGAGGTCATGAAGGAAGCGCGGTCCCGGTCGATACCGTTTGTTTTGGACGCAGACGGTCTGATTCTCGTCACCGAGGACCCGGATCTGGTGAAGGGGTATAAGGATTGTATTCTAACTCCTAATGTGAACGAGTTCAGTCGTCTCGCGAAAGCCATGGGAATCGACGTTCCCAGCCAAGCCCAGATTGGCTCCAAGTCCGATGGCGGTGGCAAGACAAGTGAGGAGACCAAGGCCTGTGAACAGCTCTCCCAGGCGCTTGGTGGCGTTACTATCATTCAGAAGGGTCCTCATGACATCATCTCCAACGGTGTCACCAGTATTGTCTCGGACATCCAGGGTGGGCTGAAGCGGAGCGGAGGACAAGGAGATACGCTCACCGGGTCGTTGGGCACGCTCTTGGCCTGGAGGGCGGCCTACCATAACGGGCTGTGGGATTCGGGGGAGAAAGACAACCAGAAAGAGGCAGAAACTAAAGAAGAGGTTCAGGCGGAGCTAGAGTCGGAGAACCAGCGGATGTCCCCGGTCACAACTTTGCTTCTGGCGGCGTTCGCGGGCAGTAGCATCACGAGGGAGTGCTCCCGGCGAGCGTTTCTGGCCAAGGGGCGGAGCATGCAGGCTAGTGATCTCACCGATGAAGTTCATGAGAGTTTCCTGCGCCTGATTGGGGAGCCGGAGGCGTCGAAAATGCGGCTGTAGGGGTGGTTTACGAGGTGGTCGGGAGTTGACAGGATATGACATAATGAAGGTTATTTATAGGCACACTTAAAGTGTATCTGGTGGCGGTGCCAATTGGCACATTCATCAAAGGTTATTTCTTTGTCTGCCTTAGCGCATGCCACTACATTCTACTAAGTACCTTCCGCCATTGCACTGCGTTTGAGAATTTCTTCTTCTTCCCTTACTACCATGGCTGCAAGTTTCCTGCAGAGCCGGTCAGCAAGCCTGGAACTGGCTCGGGGCATTGCTTTTGTAATAGTATTGGCCGTCCAGATGCAAAATCATGATGTCCTTCAGTTGCAACTTAGATCGTCCAATGAGGAAATACATTGCATGCAACCCGCAGACTCTGGCATACCATGAACACAGAATGCTGTCATATCTGGTGTGACCTGACAGCTTGAAAGCCCCAGGAATCCAGACCATCTCCTTCGGGTCTTCAACTTCAATGGTTCAACGCCGCTTTCAATAGCTTATTCCAGCTAAGACATATTTCCACCGAGCCAGAGAGCCTAATCTCGGCCTGAATCTAAGCTCCAGCAAGCTATCCAGCCAACCCCATTCCAGGCCAAATCATGATCCACCGGTCAGGTAGGACTATCCACGTCAAAAACGGACCACTCCTCATGTATGCATAACTCTCTCATCCTAAGTCTATCTTGATTGGCACCCATACTTTCTAATCAGCGCTTTTAACTTCCACCAGAGCCCCAGCCCCGATTGACCCAGTGAAGAAGAATGCTCGCCTCCCGTTCGAGCCGTGTCCCAGAGCTCGTATTCGGTTTTTCCACTCGAACAGACACTCATAACATCAAGATAAACTTCCCTGGAAAACGAAAGCCTCGTCAGGTGCCTTATTGCGGAGATACATGTTTCAGAGGGAATTGTCATTCCCTGGGTGGACCCTCGTGACGTCTATCCTAACACCCAGCCACCAACATCAAGAATGGTCCATCGTATACGAACTGAACGCTCTGAACCAATCCGTCTTCTGGCCCATCATGGCCTGATCCCTTCACAGCCTCATCCCAGCTGGATACAAAGGTATATAACCACCCTTCCCTGCCTTGTCACTACCCTCCGAACACCATCCTCATCATCATTACTCTCCACAACCACAACCAAACTCCTCCAGTCCAACTTAACACAACCAACCAACCCACAAAAATGCACCTCACCACCACAACCACCACCCTCTTCCCCCTCCTCCTCCTCCTCTCCACCACCACAACCGCAACCCCCACCCCCTCCAACCCCACCCCCTCAACCTCCACCCCCTCAACCTCCACCTGCGGCACCTGCAACCCCCTCTCCGGCGAAAACCACTGCGACATCACCACCTCCTGCATCAACACCGGCACCCGCTTCCACTGCGCCTGTCGCGCCGGCTACAAAGCCTCCCCCAATAACTGGGACAACACGAAACAGTTCCGCCTGAATGTCCCCGGGTATCAGTTTTTGGTCTTCACGCCCGAATATACCCAGTGCGATACGCTTTGTGATAATCCGTATGGGGCGAGCGCGCAGCTTTGTTCCGAGGTGAGGCTTTGGGAGGGGTGTGCTGTTTAGGGGTTTTCTTTGGGGAGGGTGTTGGGGGGTAGGGAAAGGGGAAGGGGGATAGGGATAGGGATAGATGGGAGGTGGAGAGGGACGGACGGGATGTGTGTGCGTGTGTTGGGGGTATTATATGGAGTATCTGTACTGTACTGATTACTGTGGTGGTGGATATGGAAGATGTACACTCCTTACACAGTTAATATCATTCAGAACGTTAATTGATGGTTCATATTGTTCCAAACCCGTCAATGACACCGAACACCGACCCATCCTCGAGAATTTAACATGTCTCATGTACGTCTCTCACGTATGAAGAATAGCCAAAGTGGCAAAATAACAGTAGGAAATACGAAACGAGCCCCGTGTGCAATGTGCTAGATTAAGTAGTAGCCTCTTACATGTCCATATTATCAATGAAAACCAGACGGGTGTCGTTGGCCACCAGTTGCCAGACCTGGGGAGAGAATTGTTAGCATATGTCGCTACATGGAAAACAGGCAGACTCACGTTGTTGTTCTGGTAGTCGTCAATCGCCTTCGTGAGCTGATCGTCCGTGAAACCCTTGGCAAGCACTCGCTCCCGGATTCTCCGCATGCTCAGCTCGCCCTCGTCTCCGTCACCCACAGCCGCAGCGCCACTCTCCAACATGCTGCGGATCAGGTAGTAGATCTTGCTGGTCGGGCTCTGGTCCATACCCGACTGGCCATCCGTGGACAGGGATGCCTTGCTGACCTCGACCAGGCGCAGCGCTTCGTCCACATCCTCCGTGACGACCTCCTCGCTGAACCGGAGACGGGCCAAGGCCTGTGACAGACGGACGACACCAAGCAGCGTACGGGGCGTTACGTGGGAGAACTGCTTCTTCTCCGCCTCGTCCTTCTTCTGCTGCTTTCGCATTCTCACGTAGGCTCCCACCATGTAGTCCGAGACCGAGGAGGGAACAACGGGACGGTAGGTACGCGCCTTAGCAATGTACTGACGGACTTCCTGAGGCGTGAACATAACACCAGCATCCTCGGTTTCAGGGTGTTTGTTGTGCATGTGGACGTAGGTGACGTGGCTTGCAAGTTCCTCGTCTGCTTCGCGCGAGGGGGTATCGAGAATGAGGAACATGACATCGAAACGCGAAAGCAGGGCTGCCGGGAGGTTGATGTTTTCAACAGGAGATACGCGGGGGTTGTACCGGCCGTACAGCGGGTTGGCTGCGGCCAAGATAGATGTGCGAGCATTGAGGGTCGTTGTAATGCCCGCCTTCGAAATGGAGATGGTCTGTTGTTCCATCACTTCGTGGATCGCCGTACGATCCGTGTCGTCCATCTTGTCGAATTCATCGATACAGCAAATACCGTTGTCAGCCAGAACCAAGGCACCTCCCTCTAGCACCATTTCATCCGTTACCGGGTCCCGCATCACAGCAGCCGTAAGACCAACACCACTGCTTCCTCGACCAGTCGTGTACACACCGCGTGGAGCGACCTTGGCAATATATTTCAGCAGCTGGGACTTGGCAACACCAGGGTCACCCATAAGGCAGATGTTGATGTCACCGCGAATGTGCATGCCGTCGCCCATCTCCTTCGTGACACCACCAATGAGAAGCAGAAGCAACGCCTTTTTCACATCAAGATGGCCGTAAATTTCCGGAGCGATCGATCGCGACAGGTACTCGTACATATTTCCAGACTTCTGGTACTGGTCGATCTTGCGGAGGGTTCGGCTGTCCATGTTCGTGTCGTTGTACGACTTCTTGTGCTGTGTAATATGCTGGGCTTCCATGTATGTATCAGTCAACAAGCCCGCACGGATGGCTCTGAACCCTGTGTAAGGGGTAGGGAGGAAGATGCCTGCAATGTCAACAACATCACCGGGGTTGAGTTCGCGGGTGAGGCTGCCATGGCAGTGGATGGTCATGGTTCGTGGGATGTGTCCAACAGGCACCTGGTCCGCCATTTCTTGGATTTTGACTTCCTGGAAAGGAACAAATTTCGAAGCGCGAGTGGAGAGGAACAGCTGCCCCTTAGAGTTATTCGTCTTGCATTCTGCGGACACACATTCTGACATCGGAAGGAATTGTTTCGTAGTGACCGGCTGGAACACTTCGCATCCACAGCGGTCACAAGTGTAAGCGTTGATTTCGACAGCTGGTTTCACATCCGAGACACGTGTGGTGATTCCCCGAACAGTGATCAAGCCACCGATGTGCTCCGCACGTACATTGCGCACTGCAAGGGCCTTGGACTGGCGGTCGCTGCTTGATCCGGAGGGAGTGAGGGGCTTGAAGTTTATCGTGTACCGGCGGGTCAGCTCTGGGGGGAAGATCGACTGGGCAGCATCTGCATCAGCATTGGCTTCCGCAGCCATGTTCATGGCCTCATTCCGCTTTTCACGCTGCGACATGATCACATCAAGCACGTCATCTTTGAACCTGCGCCCGATTAGCCTCGACTTATTGATTCGCTGCACTTCCTGCATACGTAATATCCTTGCTTTCCTTCGGCATCAGATCATCAGCCGCTCGAGAGAAGAGATCGATGTAATGGTATGTGTTCTTTTGCACGGATTCAACCAGCCGCAGGTCTTCGTCATCATCCGAGAGGCCTTTCTCATACTGCAATCGGTTAGGCGTCATTCGATCAAACGGTCGGGAGGAAGCGCTTACTGTGGCGAGATCATCCAGCTCGATCAAGATATTTGTCCGCTCGCGGTCAGCGACCTCCTGCAGTAGTTGCATGTATTTGAGCTTCGGTTCCCGACGTCTGCGGCCGGCTCGCTGTGCGCCGCCCTCCTGGTCGACATCGTCCATAAAGTCATACTCGTCGCTAGTGCCATCTTCGTCGATGTGAAGGTCTTCGATAGCTTCTGTCGCAGCCGCTTCCGAGGCCGACTCAAAACTCTTAAAGTGCTTCAGAAAATCCTTGAAGGCATCCAACTGCGCTTCGTAGTTGACGTTGAGGGTGTAGGAGTTGAGAGCCATGATGCGACAAGGCAACGAGCCAGTTCAATTGACCGACGCTGGCAATGGAGGCGGGTTGTGATCGTGCTAAAATCGCCTGGGGCCGAGAAGGTAAAAAGAAAGGCGGCGGTTAGGCCAAAGCGTCCCTTGGCGGAGTTCTCAGTTGGCGGTCGCCGTCCAGGAAACTTGCACTTTTCGGTGCCGCAGCAACCCGTCACGTCGCGACGCGTCCATTTCGCGTCGCTCATTCCGCATCGTGTGCCAGTCCAGATCGGGGCTAGCGCTATAGACACGTGTATCGGAGAGGAACAACTCTCGGCCCGACCATCGGCGGCGGGCCACCTCGGCCAACGGCGAGTGGTTGGTCTGCGGAGTCAATGCGACAGAGTCCGGGGAGATGCTGAAGTCTGGTCTTCTTTCCTTCTCCCCAAGAAACCCCGGCTCTATCCCTCTCCTGCTCGCTGACATACGAGCGTGCTAATTTGCGCCTGAGAATGGCCCCCAGAAAGCCCTCCACCACAGCGGAAGTTTCCCTGGTGCCTCTGAAGAACTGCCTAGTAAACCTGCCACCATCGCTGGTCGCACTGCTGGTCAATGCCAATACTGTAAGCCAGGCTTCCGTCGGGACAGGCGCATGAACTCCCTGTCCTAGCTGACCTTGAATCAGGCCGCACAAAATGTAATTGTCGAATTACAGTACCGCCCAACCACTGGGAAGACCAATGGCAGCCCCGCGCAGCGGTCGTGCTATCTAGGATGGACGGGAATGCCGAGCAAGCGGAAGCTTGCTCCGGTTGTTGGAAGAGACGGTATCAGCAGTGCCTCTGCTGCCAGAGAGCAGGACATCTCCACCGTTGAGCTGGACACAACGTTCGGAAGGGTCTTGGGCCTTGCTGATGGACAAAGGGTAAGCGTACCACTTGATCCGCGGGGCTCCCGCTGATGCTAATGCGCCTAGGTCGGGATATACATTCATCTTGATCCACCCGTTGCTCACACCATCAATATCGAACCGCTGACGCCGGAAGACTGGGAGAGTATGTTTTAGGATCGTCACCATCTATAGTGTGCAAATTTGGCTAATTTCCTGCAGTCATTGAGCTCCATGCTACGTTCCTAGAGCTCAACCTTCTGTCTCAGATTCGGGCTCTACCCAATCCTACGTACACCGCAACTCAACCCGAGCATATGCATCCTCTTGCATTGCATCTATCTCCAACGTCGACCGCGAACATTGTCATTACGTCTTTGACTCCCGCCCCGCCCAATACCTCACCTTTCGCCAAGATTGCGCCCGACGCAGAAGTTATCGTCGCTCCAAAGACCCGTCCGAAGGCTACAAGAGGATCCCGAGGGGATAGCCGGAGCGTTGCTGGAAGCAGCAAGAGGAGTGTTGGGGGACGGAGCAGCGGAAGCACGGTACGGCCAAAGAGCAGTCGGTCCGACTCGACAAGCAGGGGCTCTCTCTTCTTCCGAGGAATCGACCGTCAACTGTCCGATCAATACTTCGACGAAGAGGCAGAAGAAGACAATAACGAGGGGTTCCGCGTTTGGGTTGATCCGGACATGCTTGCCACAAACGAGCTTCGGGGCGCCGGTTGGGCTTGCGTCTCGGTCGTCCAGCCAGCTGGTCTGAAAGCTCCGCCCGATCCGCAGCAACAGGTGGAGCAAACGGAACAAAAAGGCAGCGATGCTGGAACACCGGCAACTAAGCTAGTCGCGAGGTTAATTCCGTGGACTGATGCCCCGGATACCCAACACATTGCTGTCTCGACTCTGCTGTCTGGGGCCCTAGGTGCTGAGGGTCTGGTAGGTGGTATTGTTCGGGTCGAAGCGGCTCCTCCACCGTTGCAGCGGTCTGCAGTGAAAACGCTGAAGATGTTTCCTTTCATGGGTGATGCGTCTAAGAAGAAGGACGGATTGAAATTCGGGTCTGACACCGCCGCCGCGAGGGATGCATTGGCAGAACGTATCAAAATCCTGTACGGTGGTTCTGGTCTGGATAAGGGGCTACTAGCGGGACCTTTGACTGATGGGATGGTCCTACCAAGTACCGACTACCAGACCACCGGGACCGTGTTCGATGGTGCTATTCTCCGATTTGACCCTCCACTGAAGGGCAGTTCCGAGACAGCCAAACCCGCGACAGGATGGGTCTTGGGGTCAGACACCAAACTGCCACTGGAAGTGCAGGCTGAAATACCCCGCCCAGCAGAATCGAGTTCATCTGCCCATCCATCGGAGGATGCATTGCCTTCCGCAGTTCCTGAAATGGTTGGAATCGACCATATTATCTCGCAGGCCATCGATAACTTGACTAAGTCATCCTCCATCTTGCTCACTGGTGGTCTTGGATCTGGAAAGACAGCCTTGAGTCAACTTCTGGCCCACCGTGTGCGGAAGGATTACCTCTTTAACGTGAAATATTTTTCTTGCCGGAAGCTTGTAACTGACGAAACCCGCATTTCGAACATCAAAGAAACGCTGAATCGCCTTTTCATGTCCGCTTCCTGGTGTGCCCGTCTCGGTGGACAGTCAGTTGTGATCTTGGACGATCTCGATAAGCTGTGTCCTGTAGAGACAGAGCTCCAGGTCGGAGGAGACAATGGTCGCAGCCGCCAGAACAGTGAAGTGATCTGCTCCATGGTGCGCGAGTATTGTTCTATGAACTCTTCCGTGGTGCTGCTGGCCACAGCGCAGTCGAAAGAGTCTTTGAACAATGTCATCATTGGAGGCCACGTCGTCCGGGAGATCATCCACTTAAGGGCCCCAGACAAGGAAGGTCGACGAAAAGTACTGGAGCAACTCACCATTCAGGACCGGGGCACTCCGCCTGCGATGAATGGTCATGCGCGAAAGTCCAGCTCCGCGACTCAGGATTCGTGGCTGAACCCTTCCAATCCCGGCAGTCGTCCCAGCTCAGCTGGAGCAGACGGCTTTGTGCTTGGTAGGGATGTAGACTTCCTGGATCTCGCTGGCAAGACGGACGGATACATGCCCGGCGATTTGGTCCTTCTTGTCTCGCGCGCCCGGAATGAGGCCCTTATTCGCTCCGTTCAGGATTCCTTGGCCTCGTCAAGAGCCATTACCCTTGGGGCCGATGATTTTGAGAACGCCATTAAAGGCTTCACTCCTGCGTCTCTTCGAAATGTTACTCTTACCTCGTCTACTACGACCTTCTCCGCCATCGGTGGATTAACTGAGACCCGCAAGATGCTTCTTGAGACGTTGCAATATCCCACCAAATATGCTCCTATCTTCGCACAGTGCCCGTTGCGTCTGCGCTCGGGTCTGCTGCTCTACGGATATCCTGGTTGTGGAAAGACCCTTCTCGCTAGCGCGATAGCAGGCGAGTGTGGCCTGAACTTCATTAGTGTCAAGGGTCCGGAAATTTTGAACAAGTATATCGGTGCGAGTGAGAAGAGTGTGCGGGATCTATTTGAACGAGCGCAGGCTGCTCGACCGTGCATTCTCTTCTTCGATGAGTTTGACAGTATCGCGCCCAAACGTGGTCACGACTCCACGGGTGTCACCGACCGTGTGGTCAATCAGCTCCTCACCCAGATGGATGGTGCCGAAGGTCTCTCCGGGGTATATGTTCTCGCCGCGACCTCCCGGCCCGATCTGATCGATCCCGCACTGCTGCGACCAGGACGTCTGGACAAGTCTCTGATTTGTGACATGCCCAACCATGCGGACCGGCTCGACATCATCCAAGCGGTGAGCAAGAAGCTCGCGATGAACGAGGAAGTTGTTGCCCGCCTGGATGAAGTGGCAGCCCGTACAGAGGGTTTCTCCGGTGCTGATTTGCAGGCTGTGGTGTACAATGCTCATCTTGAAGCTGTTCACGATGCTCTCGGAGACCACTCCGTGAATGACAAGTCCACGGCCAAAAGTGGCACAAAGCCGTCATCAACGGGCACCAGCACCAAGTCATTCATCCAGTTCCTTTACTCGGCCACGGAACAGGAAGCTGGAAGTGTGTCGATGCCTTCTCCGGCAGTTGTCGCGTCTAAGCTTGATGCTATCAAGAACGCACGACGACGCCAACGACAGTCGGAACAGGGCACGACCAGTACCCAGGCAGCGGCACCCAACGGGGCCGCTCAGGAGGAAACGCGCGAGGAGATTGTTGTCCGGTGGGAGCACATGGAACGGTCTCTCAACTCAACACGCAGCTCCCTCAGCCAAGCCGAGAGACGACGTCTGGAAGGGATCTACCGGGAGTTCATCTTCGGTCGAAATGGCGAGATGCCCACCGGCGAAGGCAGCCAAGAGATAGGAGGACGAACGAGCTTAATGTGAATCATGTACAATATTTATTCCTAGTACATACCACTGTTGCAATATAAGCAAAATATATCATTAAAACCAGTCCTACTGCCCAACCCCCAAAGTAGGGAGTATATACCTTTAGATTAGAGAAGGAAATGGGGAAGAAAAAAAGAACAAGTCAAAGCGAGATTCGAACCCCCACCCTCTCAAACCGTCAACCTTAAGCGTCAAAAAACCCCTACCTCCAAAACCAACCCGGTAAAGGTGCACAAAAAAACTGGTAGCTTCTCTTTGATTGAGCGTGTCATCCTTAGTGCAGGGGCCATGCTAATCTTCTCTGTATCGTTTCAAATTGACCAAATGCCCGAAGGCACTGATTATAGGTTTACAATGGGTTATATAGGAAGGATGGTAGGAAATGGAGCAGCTTGATTGGTTGGGTAAGCGAGGACGGGAAGGGGAACATCAAAACATTAATTCCAAGTTCTAAGCAAATCTTACTACAAACTAGATAGAGTACGTCAAGGGTGAGAGGTCAAGTGCGGTAAGTATGATCCGATCTTCTACAGAGTACAGGAGAGATGTAAACTGCGGTAAACATGCATCCGATAGATTTACTCTCAGGTACTAATTTAAATGAGCTGTGAACCTATCTACCGGAGTAAGCACACCTCCTTTGGACAGACAGGGATCATGCCTCTCGACCAATAACATCTCTCGTGGAACCGAGATGTGAACTGCGGTATTCATGTATCCGATCTTCTAGCCTACAGTACTCCGTACAGGGGAGTGTAAACTGCGGCGTCCATACATCCGACTAAATGGCTCTAAGGATGTACTCCCTGCTTCTTTTGACCAATCATATATGCTGTACGGGCGAGATGTCAACTGCGGTAGACATGCATCCGATAGATTCACTCTCGGGAATAAATCAGATGGGATGTGAACTGCGGTAAGGATACATCCTACATGCAGGGATTGTGGTATTTCTCCACCAATAACATCTCTCGTAGGGTCGAGATGTGAACCGCGGCCTCCATGTATCCGACACTCTACTGTGTACGGAGTAGGCTACAGAGGAAGTATAAATTGCAGTTTCTCTACGTCCGACAAAACTGCTCTAAGGATGCAACCCCTGCTTTTTTTTTTGGCCAATCATGTTTGGTGTACGGACGACTTGTCAACTGCGGTAAGCATGCAACCGATATGATTACCCTCAGGCAAGTACGGAGTATACAGATGAGATATGAGCCGGGGCCAGCATACCTCCTCTAAAATGCAGGGGTTGTGGTATCTCCCTACCAATAACATCTCTCGTAGGGACGAGATGTCAACTGCGGTCTCCATGTATCCGAAACTCTACTATGAACGGAGTCGATAGGCTACACAGAAAGTGTAGACTGCGGTTTCCAAGCACCCGAAGAAACTGCTCTAAGGATGTAATCCCTGCATCTATTGACCAATCATATTTCGTATACGGATGAGATGACAACTGCGGTAAGCATACATCCGATGAAAGAAAGAGCGTAGCATGGATTGACGCCGAAGCCTGCCGCCCTGATTGCTAAGTAATGAAGCTAACTTAGCCGAGGAGTAGCAGTCAACAATCATGAAAGTGCCTGCCATGAAGTGATTTAAAATCCCTCAGGCAAGCTACAGTGAATAGTCTACACTGACATGTGTGTTTCCAATGGATTTCATCTATAATATGTTTGCTAGAATTCGGGATTGGCCTTGACGGTCTTCACCTTATAATGTTTCCCATAATATGTTTAAAGGCTAGATCGGCCACAGTCTCACTGATGTGCAACTGACATGGAAAATGTTGAAATACCCGCGTCTATATCTTGCCTGCTCATGATAGAACAGGCTAGGTAGGTTGCTGAACCGATCGAGTATAGATGGTTGAGTTTACTTTATTAACTCCGCCTGATTCCCCTATATTATACAAATACTGTGTACTCCCTAGATCGTCCTCCATCGATCAAATGGCACACTGGCACTAAGCCCAGACAGGTCTAGTTTAGCAGCCTGCAAGACACCAAAATGGCTCCATAGCGATGACGGACCGAGTCCCCGCATGCTAGTCTCCAGTCTCCACACCTGTCTTGCCACAGTCTAGAATCTACTCCGTAGATACCCTCGATCTAGAGATGTCAGAGGGGTCCGAATTCGATGGCGAGCTGGAAATGCTGTCCGAGAAGCCAGGAACCAAGTATCTGAATGCGCCGTCTGATCGGCATGGGCCAGCGTGGCCGGTTTGCGGGTCTAGTCTAAGGACTCGAATGTCAGTGCAATTCTTGGATCATGTCTCAATGTTATGTAGGCAGACATGCTAGATATGCATAGGGTAGCGAGGTTCTCTGTATGGATCTAGATCAGGAATGATATCACCACTGAACCACGGTAGCATTCTAGTGACGCTAGAGCTGAGAAAACAGAGAAGCACCCGGGGGGTTGAAGATAGAAAGAGCGTGTCGATCTACCGCCCATGTCGTTTCATTGTAGAGCTGTTCAAATCTCGAGTGTGTTCAATTTATGTAGAATTATAGGTTCTCGATGGACGATGTTCAGGTGCTGACTCCATAAGACTGTCCGAGGCTGTTATGCGGGGGTCAGCCAATAGCACTCCCGTCCAGCCAACTCGGTCTCCAGGGCGACCAGTTGCTACCATACTGCCTCTGTGTAACATGATCTATCCAATTCAGCTCAGTGCTCACGATCCTATCGCAAAAGAAGCTCCGTCCAAGCTACGGCCGTCCACGGGCACCTTTTCAAGTCGCAGTTTCTAGAACCACGTCAACTTCCCTCGTTTCCTGGAACCAACAAACGGTACAACGGTAGCAGCACCAGCATGACGTTTAAGACGCTTGAGGCTCGCCTCAGGCACCTGTCTGTCCGCGATGAGAACGATTGGAACGATGAGAATAATTCTCAGCAGAAGTCCAAGGTAGGTTTGCGTCGAATTATCCTTTCAAGCACGCGTTGAGGGTAATTGTTGACAGGGGCAGGCTGCAACCACCAGCACACGTTCATCCGATAGAAACCGACCGTCGGAAAGCTCCAGGGCTGTTATTTCCCAAGGGGCTCAAGTAAAAGGCGAACAATCTCCTCGGCGATCTCGAAAGCCCCTCTCAGTCATCTCGACGCAGGCACCCAATAAACTGGCCAAGGCGGAGGGAAAAGACATCATTGGTACCAAGCAACAAAGCACAGCTGCCAATCATGTCGCCTCTCAAGTGTCTCAAACCAAAGACGAAAAAGCCCCTTCCCGGGCTCGACATGCCCTCGCTGTGGTTATTGTTTCACAGAAATCATCAGATGCAGCGTCCAAGGCAGGAGAACACCATGTTGGTGAAGCCAAGCGACAAAGCACAGTCGTGACTTCCCAAGTGACTCAAGCCAAAGGCGGACGACCTATTCCCCTCGTTCGACGCACCCTTTCTACATCCAACGCAGCGGTCAAGGCAGAAGAACATTCCGCCCCGCTTATCAAGCAACCTGTCCCCAAGATATTCCATCTCGGCATGTTTGAGATTGGCCGACCCCTAGGAAAGGAAAAGTTTGGGCGAGTATATCTTGCACGAGAGCGACAGACTGGCTTTGTTTGTGCGCTGAAGGTACTGCACAAGGATGAGATCCAACAAGGAAGAATCGAGAAACAGGTGGCTCGGGAAATCGAGATTCAGAGCAATTTGCGCCACCCCAATATCCTACAACTATACGGTCACTTCCACGATAAGAAGAGAATAGTCCTGATTCTTGAGTATGCTGGCAAAGGGGAGTTATACAAGCACCTGCAAAGAGAGAATCGCTTCCCGGAGTGGATGGCTGCCCAATACGTTGCACAAATGGCGAGTGCTTTACGATACCTACATCGTAAACATGTCATACACCGGGACATCAAACCCGAGAATATCCTTGTGGGTCTGCACGGAGAGCTGAAGATGTCGGATTTTGGCTGGAGTGTTCATGCGCCAAGTGGTCGGAGGCTCACGAAGTGTGGAACACTGGACTACTTGCCGCCAGAGATGGTCGACCCGAAGAGATACGAGAAACCTTATGATGAAAAGGTGGATCTATGGGCCCTAGGGGTTCTTATGTACGAGTTTCTGGTGGGAAGCGCACCTTTTGAGGACACGCCGGTTATGACACAGCGGAGAATCGCCAGGGGTGATATGACGATTCCTTCTTTTGTTAGCTCTGAGGCCAAGGATCTTATCAAAAAGGTAAGTTTATCTTTCGACAGCAACAACCAGATACTAACAGGGATCCAGTTACTTGTGGTTGACTCCGATCAGAGGATATCTCTGGAGCAAGTCCGACAACACCCCTGGATTGTAAAACACTGCGAGGGCGTAGCAAAACAAGATAAGCCCAGTCAAGTCAGTAGTAAGAGGTAGCTATAGTTCAATGCTATCGAAGCCATCGGAGGGGTCACTGGCCAGTGTCTCAATTAGTGATAGTAGTGCATCAGAATCTCTTGGGAAAAGCTGTAACTGAACTGTCAATACAGTAATGAAAACATCTGTCTGCCTAAGACGCAGGGGTCCAAGTGTCTGTCACCGCCTGGAGCCACACCTCTGCCGCCGCTAGCTACAGGGACCACAATCATCCACTCCTGATGTGGTGCCTTCTTAGTCTCATCAGTGTGGTCCTTGGTGATAGGTATAGTCAAGATGCTGACCAAGCTTCCGCCAGAGTTATTGGATATGACCATCCGCCTAGTAAGATGATCCCTCCTTAAACCTTGTGCAAATAGCTTATCAGTGAAGATCGATAGTCGTACGGACTTGAGGCGTCTTTGTGAAGTCTGCAGGCGGCTTCATGATATAACCCTACCACATCTATACCGCCCCCTGATCCTATCTGCGCCGGAGGTGCTGTTCGAGGACCTGGTCGCGATTCTGGAGAAGATACCACGGAAATACTTAAAATACACACGGGAATTTGGCTTCACTATTCCCATCCACGAGCAATTCGAAGCCCGTTGTGTCCACCACGATGCCAAGGAACACATCATAGACGATGATGTCGAGGCTGGGCTTCCAGACCTATTGCCAGATGATGACAATGTTGAGTATGGGACGATCGATGGCGAGACGGATATAGATGAGAGTATGGAGGAGGTGAGTAAACGCACCTGCTTGAACACCCGACACTTGGAAGTGCGATGGTTGATAAATTAGTACAGGGTCAAGTCATGGACCCTTTCTTTGACTTCAATAGTGTCTTGAGCTCTCTGAGGTTCCCAGATGATCAGCTACGAAGTTTCCGGTTAGCACCGCATTACTCAACATGGGCAATCTACTTATGTGAATACAGGTGGGAGGTAGGAACATGTATTCCGGAAGCCATCTTTTACACTATCCTTAGCAATCAACGACATATTCAATCCATTACTTTGATCACAGGCGGAGAATGTGGTGCAAGTCAGTACTTGGTGGATCTTGTCCAATTCAGAAGACTACGGTCCCTTGACTGGAAGGGACTGCATCGATATGACGACTTCAAAGCCGTCAGAGACTGCATCAAAGTCCATGGCCATCAAATCCAATCCCTCACTCTCGATCTCTTGATCTGGGATCGTGCAGAGGAAATATGGACTGATGGATTTCGTCAATCGAGTTCCCAGCCCACCAGAGTCCCAGACAACTTCTTCTCACAAAGAGTGCTCAATCTCCACCCTGGAGCTAAAAAGATCATACTTTCATCTCTTGAGAATCTTCACCTGTCAGCTGTGTCGTTTAAACATACTGATATGGAAATGGCGCATGCGTTCAATATCGAACACCTGAAGAGCCTCAAGTTGCGAAACTGCCCGGGATCCCTTGACTGGGTACGACGGATACACAACGCTGGAAAGCCAATGGAGCTGAAATCTTTCGAGCTGGGTTTTGATCTCGATAGTCTTGGGAAAGATGGGTATACGCACATCACGGAGACGATCTGCAATTTTGTCCAGCACGTTCCCAATCTAGAGAGTCTCTATCTAATGCTCCCTGAGCCTATGAATTGGACCACGCTCACAGATAGACTGTCAAACCATCGTTATCTCAAACTCTCTGTTATGCACCATCTGACGGATCGAGGTGGTCAGTACCTTATCGATGGAGATCTAGCATGGCCTTTGCATTTGGAAAATATCCTACAAAGAACACATTTAACTTGTTTTGGATCTTCCATTCCAGCTAGGACCTTGGTATGTGCTGATTCACAAATCTCTAATTTTGTAGCTCCTAACTGAGAACTAGGAAATGCACTTGCCAAGGATGCAACCGAGACCATCCTGCAAACTGCTACATATTAGAACAAGTGGAGTTATTCTTGATAGACTAAGTGTTATTAAGTCTGGGCAACCGAACTGGTTCTCTGACCCTCTATATACCTATCAGTATGGTGAAGGTAAGCGAATCCCACCCATAGAAGTCCACAATGAAGATGCAAAGGAGTCTAAGTCGAAACAGGTTTTCCCTATGTACTCGATGAACATGTAATCATGTTCGCGCACTGGGCGTTCAGTGCCGATGGTCTTCCGGACCTTCAAGTCATCGCCTGGGGAGACTTTTCATATGGCGGCCGCTATTCCAAGGTGAATCTTCTCCTTTGTAGAAATGGTGATGGAATCTGGCACTTGACCCCTTCGAATACCGTTGCTTGGAATGTTTTCCAGGATAATTTGGATATGCTGGCAGCTTGTCCTTATGATGATCTCCTAATGCTATGATTTATTTTGCGATGGAGAGACTCGTGAGATTCTTCATTTACAATAACAATACGGTATTCTCCATTGTTAAGATCCTACCATCTTCCAGTATCATAGAGAACGTCCGTTGTTGCCCGCGTGCCCTCTATACTTCGTGCGGGCTTCCCATAACCGTATCGCCAACGCCACCCGAACACCACCACCGAGCGAGAATCTTCAAGGCAGACACATTTCTAGACCGAAATTCCCAAAGCTCACTCTTATAAACAACCAATTTCATCCCATCGTGATGAGCTAAAAGAACACGACCATGCCGCGGACCCATAAACGATAATAACATCACCTGCAAAACGAAGAGTCAGCCTTGGGCCTATCTAGACGACAGCAGGATAAACGAAACATACAGGAGCCACGACATGATTCTCATACAGTTCAAGACCTCTAATCATGATCCGAAATATCGATAATAGTTCCCCGCGCGTAATCTCATCACTCCCGTTGACGTTATTGAGTATCATGCCTTTCAGCCAGGGACCGCCAGGGACTTTGGAAATAGCTGTGGCACGCCAGTTGAAGTCTTGGGTTTGTTCTCAGAGGTTGTAGTCGAGATTACTGGGTCTATTGATTCCGTCAAATAGATTTCGTAGGGAAAAGATATTGATACATACTGCATTAGCTGAACATGGGCCTTGGAATCTCCTTGCCCTGCTATATCCACTAGGTATGCTCGGAGGTACTGATAGATATCCTGCGCCCAGGCGATCGGGGTGCAGAATACATTCCCTTTCTCGTCATAGGGAGGGTAATCTTCTTCTGGGTCAGGCTGTGGTAGGGTATCCATGTAGGGTTCGAAGAAGGAAGATTGAGATGACGGTTGTCCGTCCTCGTCTAGGTGCAGTGTACTGACTTGCACATTGTGGGCATGTAGATCGTCGGGGGTATACTGTGTGAGTGTGTTCGCTGTTAGGGATCTCTCGATTGCTGTCACTGCTTTGAGACGGGAATGGTTTTCTTCTAGGGGATTATTCATTGTGTTCGGAATTGAGAGGGAGGTGTGCTGCATGGGAAGAAGTTGGCTGGTTGAGGCAGTATGGACGGGGCAGTACCGAGTATTGTTTACCGCCTGTAAGGATACCTTTAGAAGTTCTTGGGATGAGGGGTGGATACTATTAGTTAGTATCTTTCACCTCAGATGATGTCGACCGAGAGATATCTTATGATAATAGTCAAGCAGGCGCCGATTCAGGCAGCCTAGTGGTGACTTGCCTCTAGACTCACCCCGAACTTAATTTTCTCATACATTTCACAGAGACTTCCACAGCCGTCTACCACTCCGCCATATTCCGATGGGTTCACCTCCTGAGTATGCTCAGATGGTTGCCTCATTCAAAGAAGTTCTCGAAACACTGGACAACTTCTTTTCAGTAGGTCTGTCTCTGCATTGAAGGTCTCAGAGAGTTCAACTTTGATGTTAATTCTTTCTTTTCCAGATGATTCCACGCATTATCTAAGGAAGGATACGATGAAATTGAGACTCGATTTGATCTGGCAATGCATGAGATTGATCCCTGGATACACAGTCAATTGAGGCAATAAAGCACCTCGGCCCTATTCTGCTTTCTCTAGCATTGATCGTGTCCATGAGCAATCGGGCCATGAAGATAAACCACACAATGGACTGAAGGGAGAGTGGCATTCAAGGCTCACTAATATAGCGGAATCACATTAGCCTAACGGCTAGAATGAGAAGCAATAGATAGCTGTTGTTTCAGGCCAAGTGCTTTAATTTCCTCGAGGGGAGGGGCACGGGGACTAGTGAATAGTTGCGGGCCTTATACCGAGGATGGCAGTGCCACCGTGGGGCGGGGACGGCAAGTTGAACGGGGGTACGTAGGCTTTCGCGGGGAGGTTTAAATTGAATGCCTTGGTCGGCGAAGGAGTTATGCATTTTGCAGTTGATTTCCGGGTGGGGTGAGGGAGGATAGAACGGTATCCTAAAAAGAACCAAAGAGGAGGAGGATATGGAGCAGGCATGTGATGACGGCTGAGGGCCAGAGTCGGTGGAGCTCTGCCCTATCCAAGGGAATATCCCAGTGACCTCCTTCTCATCACCGGTGGGCTTCTTCGTCCCTGGCTCGTCGGGATTATCTCCCGTTCTTCGGAGCTGCCGCAGTGATGGTGAACTGACGACTGCTCTGAGCTATAATCCTCGGCATTACGTCTGAGAATAACCAAGTTGGATTAGACTCCGACGGTGCAGGTGCCTGAGCCATCGGCATCAGAGATAATCTCTTGTTCCCACAATTGGTCTTTGATTATCTTTCAGCGGGTTCCGTGCGGATCTTCCGGGTGACATTTTCTCGCCTTGCCTATCAAATTAGAACTGCAGAACAACCATGGAATCAGCTGTGGCAAGTGAGAACCTTATATCCGACCAACTAACAGCATATATAGAGGATGCGTTTGATGAACCCAGTCTGAATCAGGGCCATGATTAGCCTTTCCATTCATCCGCGCATCGCTGGTCTTGGTTTCAGACTCTCTCGGACTTGAGTTTCCCGCGAACCCCCTCAAAGATTGGACCCTGAAGGTTATCCCACTGCAGTTCTGAACAAGGCGACCAGTCAATATTGCTAACTTGCTACAGGCTCGGTCGAACAAACCGACTCGGGACAAGATGATGGACAGGCTCGGTTGCCCCGTTGGGCCCGGTGGGGACGGGAGCATCTCACGAAACGCGCGTTGAAGGATGCGCTGAAGAACTGGCCACTTTCTGGCCAAACTCTAAGCAGATATGCTGCCGCTCCTCATGGTGATCCAAAGGACGGAGACCGGCGCGGTGGAAAATGTTATAGCCATCATGCTCACGGCGACTCATAAACAGTCTGGGTGACCACCGTTGGATCGTGGCCGGCTGGATTCGCCTGCCATGGCATTGGGCTCTCCTCCTTTCACTTTCTTCACGTCTGTCTAGGCATGAATTACACCTGCGATCCGGTCCACCTACAGGGGTCCGATTGCAACTCCCCGCACACGTTCCCCGGGTCATCGTCCTACAATGCAGGGCCCGGGATTCTGGCTCTCAACTGGGCGGCCGCGGCCATCGCGGTTCTGGTCATGACCCTCAGAGTCATTGCCAAGGTTCGCATTCGACATTTTGCGATGAACGACACGGTTATGCTATGTGCATTGGTTGGTCTCTGATTTCGTCATATCTGGGAAATCCTAATGCGCATTAGGCACTCGCTTTGGCCGCATCCATCATGATCACCATGGCCATCGGACATGGTTACGGGCGACACTATCAATATCTGAGCCGTGCAAACCAGGTGCTGGCCCTTCAGTATTATACCGGTTTCCAATGTCTGTTGATTGTCGCCACCGGCGTTGGGAGAGCGGCCTTTGCGCTCTATCTCCTGAACATCCTGCGCCAGCAAAGGTTTGTGTGGTTCTTCCTATGGGTCATATTCGCGGTGCAAATCATCATCAACATTGTCTCCGTGGTCACCATCCTGGCCCAGTGCAAGAATATCAACTCCATCTGGGACACAACCGTGGTCACGACATGCTGGGATCCGAATGTCGATCGTATCTACGCCTACGTTCAGTGCTGTATGTTTTCTGGCTCTGGTCCCATCATATTGCCATGGCAGAAGCTGACAGATATGGCACAGCGATCAACACTGCAACGGACCTTTTCCTCGCTGTCTTCCCGACATATACCTTCTGGAGCCTGAGCCTGCAAATGCGCATCAAGATCAGTCTGGTCATCCTGATGGGCCTGGGCCTAGTGTTAGTATCTCACCGACAAGTGATCCGCACGTGGTCTCCTTGTGCTAACCATAGGATCACAGAGCCATGGTGGCCTCGATCATGCGGATTGTATACGTGGATTCCATCGCCGAACGGGGTGATCAAACGGCGGCCACCGTGGCGCTTTCCCGATGGGCTCTGGCTGAGTGCTATCTGGTCATTGTCACGGCCTCCATACCCTGTATTCGGTCTTTGGTCATCGCGTCTGTCCGCGTTATTCATAGCAACAACCGCTCGCGAGGGCAGTCACTGCCGAAGATCAGCGCGCCGATTCCGGATCCCGCAGCATACAGCACTTGGACGGTTGCCCATCCGTCCCAGAGTCGGCGACAAGGGAGTGTAGAATATATTCTCAGCAATGCCGAGCTGGACCGGTTAGACGGGGGCGGGCTTCCCAAACGGGGGGCTGTAATGCTTCTTACAAAAGACTCGAGCAGCACCGAGAGCCGAGTCTACCGGTCGTAAGTCATGAGCTATGTAGATATGTCTGGTTACGCGTGATGGATTTGGATATTACTACTTTATAATGCGACACGGATCATGGAGATACCCGAGCCTTGTTGAATGGTTCAACCTTGTACCGACCTGATCGCTGCGTTCCACTAGCAATCGAACCTCTGAAAATCCACCACTCTGGAGATACTTCGAGGGTCAGCTTGGCTGCTAGGGTGCATCTTTACTTCCCCAGCCGCTAATGAAGCTTGGCCGGGGACCATAGTTGAACAAGTCAACCACCACCAGCAATCAGGATCTCCCCGCGCGCATCCACGGGCCCAGCAAGGGGCGTTACTGGCCCTCGGCTGAGGTAATCTAGCCTAGACGCAGCGGTTATCCGTGGCAATCTACCCCGGGCTTATCGGCGACACTGCCGAGGGCCGAACGTCTCTCTTCCTTATTAACTGACTCCCCCAAAACGGCGGTCTATCTGGCCGACGGCCCTTTCTTTGCTTTTCTCATTCATTAGACCTTCTCTCCTCTGTGCTCTGGATCCCCCTGTCCCCGCTCCGTCCTCACGGCTCCCTCCAGCTTTCTTTTGCTGTTCCCCAGCTTTTCCCCGCATTTTCGCCATGCCCGTCTCCTCACGTTATCCCCCCGTCGACATTCCAGACGTGGACGTCTGGACTTTTCTCTTTGAGCGGAAGGATCGGGCCTTCCCCGATGATAAAGGTATGTTTCTTTGCTCCCGACACTGGAGTGTCTTCTCTATCGGCGACACGTACCAATTCCTCGATGCCCGCGACCGGTTCGTTGGTCCGAGACAGCCGCTGACCCCGTCCAGTGGTCTACCATGATGCAGACACACGGCGATCGTATACCTATCAACAAGTCAAAGATGCAGCCCTCTCCTTCGGCAAGGGTCTCAAGGCCACCTTCGACTGGAAGAAGGGAGACGTGCTAGCTCTCTTCACTCCCAACAGCATCGATACCCCGGCCGTAATGTGGGGAGCGATCTGGGCCGGGGGCATCGTCTCCCCGTCCAACCCTGCCTATACAGCCGACGAGCTGGCGTTCCAGCTCAAGAATTCGGGTGCCAAAATTCTTATCACCCAATTGCCCCTTCTTCCGGTAGCCACCGCTGCCGCGAAAGAAGCCGGCATCCCTGAGGACCACATCATACTCGTTGGCGATCAACGCGATCCGCAAGCCCGAACCAAGCACTTCACCTCCGTCCGCAACATCTCCGGGGCCACTCGTTTTCGCAAGACGAAGATCGACCCATCCCGCGATCTATCCTTCCTGGTCTACTCCTCGGGCACGACCGGCGTACCCAAGGGCGTGATGCTCTCCCACCGTAACATTGTCGCCAATGTTCTCCAGCTCTCGGCCGGTGAAGCAGGCAATCTCACCTGGAATGGCGGCGCCGACGGCAAAGGAGATCGAGTTCTAGCATTCCTCCCCTTCTTCCACATCTACGGTCCGTCCCCACCTCCCGAGTCCACTTGTAACCCTATCCTGATAACCTCCCAGGCCTGAACTGCCTAGTCCATCAGACGATATACCAGGGCTACGAGCTCGTAGTGATGACCAAGTTCGACATTGAGAAGTGGTGTTCCCACGTCCAAAACTACCGCATCACATTCAGCTACGTCGTTCCCCCAGTTGTCCTCCTCCTGGGCAAACACCCCATCGTGGACAAGTACGACCTCTCGACCCTCCGCATGCTCAACTCCGGCGCCGCACCCCTTACTCAAGAACTCGTCGAAGCCGTCTACACGCGTATCAAATGCGGCATCAAACAAGGCTACGGACTCAGCGAAACCAGCCCGACCACACACACCCAACCCTGGGAAGAATGGCGCACGAGCATCGGCTCCGTCGGCAAACTCCTCCCCAACATGGATGCCAAATACATGACCATGCCCGAAGACGCCTCCGAACCCGTCGAAGTCCCCGCCGGCCAAATCGGCGAACTATACATGCGCGGCCCCAACATCTTCCTTGGCTACCACAACAACCCCTCCGCAACCGCCGAATGCCTCACCCCCGACGGATGGTTCCGCACCGGCGACGTCGGATACCAAGACCCCCAAGGCAACTTCTACATCACCGACCGCGTCAAAGAATTGATCAAATACAAGGGCTTCCAGGTCGCCCCCGCCGAACTGGAAGGAATCCTCCTCGACAACGACGCCATCGACGACGTCGCCGTCATCGGTCTCGAGAGCGAAGCCCACGGCACCGAAGTCCCGCTCGCGTACGTGGTCCGGAGCGCCAAAAGTCTCAACTCGGGCGTGGACGGGCCCCAAGAGGCCGCTAATATCGTTAAATGGCTCGATGCGAAAGTCGCATATCATAAACGGCTCAGAGGCGGCGTCACATTCATAGAAGAAATCCCCAAGAGCGCAAGCGGTAAGATCCTTAGACGGTTGTTGAAGAAGAAGGCCAAGGAGGAGGGGTTGGGAGTGGGTGCTGAGGGGCCGAAGGCCAAGTTGTGAGGTATATCATGCCTGTGTGCCTTGGCCTTTATGCCCTCATACCCTCCCCTTTCCTCTCTTTCTTCCTGGCATATCCTTGTATCATGTTGGTAAGGCTACGAGTAATTGATGTTGTATATAGATCCATCTAACGATAGCGTTGGTTATTTTTTTGGATATTGGTCTACACTCATGATTTGGTTTTATATATTTGGGGAGACTGAAACTGCGGAAGCTATCTCCGCGGAGTAGATTGGATTGTCCAGCTCTGGAAGAGTAGTTGTAACATATCATAAAATACACGTTCGATGGTTAAACGTGACTAATAGGTAGGTAAGTTAGTTTGTTCATACATGATCTATCATTGTAACAAGGACTGGAAAAAAGTACAGTACATCCGTTGAATTGCATCTCATTACCGGTCCGGGTCAAGTACGATCAACGGGATTGTAGGATCGAGATCGTATGATCATGCATAATTACAATGGACTGCACAGTCTGTTTACAGGCCGAATCGCTTAACCATGGCTTCGACGTCCTCTCCATCGACCGCATCGATCTTCTCCCGAGCCACCCGCTCGACGGCCTGATCGACGGGCTCCGCGCCCTCTAGCAGATCATACCAGCCCTCTGTGTCATCCCGGGCGAGCAGTTGATCCGCGACGATCGCCACATCCTCGCGCGTCACTATATCCCGGCCCTTTTTGGTCTTGCCTAGGTCGACCTTGCGCGTCGCCGGGGTGTCAGTTAATGTCCCCGGTCGCAGATTGATCGCTTGCAGGGGCCGCGCGGCGCCTGCAGCAACAAGCTTTTTGCGCTGCGCTGCCAGCGCGGTCATGTACTCGTCGGCTTCGAGCTTGGCTTTGGCGTATGCAGGCAGGACGTTGTAGAAGACGTTTTGCAGGATGCCCCACTCGTCATCGGGGAGCCAGGCGGGCTGGACTCGTCGACTACCGAGCCAGGAGACAAGGAGGAATTTGGTCACGCTGGGGTGGGCAAACGAGGCAGAGAGGAAGTGTTTGGCGGCGCGTTCGTCGATGGCAAAGGTACGTTCGGGACCGCCTTTCCCGCCGGCGCCTGTGTTTCAGGTGGGGGACCTTGGGTTAGTTGGAACGTTATTTTGGATAGATGGATGAGCAGATGTGATGTGTGGATTTGATTTGGACTTGCAGGGATGGATGCAGATGGTTCTGGTATTTTTGGCTGTGGGGGTGGGTTTCAATCCCAACCACGGTTACATACCTGCCGACCACACCACATAGTCTGGGGAAACGCTGTCTAGGATCTTCTTGGCGTCGGCATCACTCTTGACGTCGTCCAAGCTGGAGAGGAGGACGTTCAGCTTGCCCCTAGCGCCTTTGCCTAGGGCAAGGATCTCATTTTCGTGCTCTGCGTTGCGGATGACACTGGTGACGTTCCAGGAGCGGGCGAGCAGAAGCGGGGTCAGATGCAGAGCCACTTTACCGTGGCCGCCTAGGAGAAGAACCTGCATTGTGATATACCAATTGATCAATATGCTGGATAGATCGTAGATACGGTGCTGCCTGGCCAAGTTAACTGACAACTGATGGAAAAAATTGCATCTGTGGTGGTTGAGCTTGGAGCTTTGAGCTTGCGGCAGTGCGGAGAGCGGATTAGTAATGGCGAGGGGTTACACGGAAAGGCAGGGATGGCGTCATGAGTTTGTTTCTACGGGGTTCAATGCAGCCGAAAAGTGTCACTCTCACGCCCTGCAGGCTGCAAACGGGGAAGTCGTGCACAATGTCTTAGGTGCTGCAAGGAGAGTGGGAGTCCATTGTCTTCTGATCAAACATCGCCATGGCAGCCTCCGTTTTAGATCTGCCTGGTGATGCCCCTTGATAAACAAAAGCTGTGGTGGTGGCCGTCGATCAGATGGGCCGTAAGAGCCGGATCAAACACTGGAGCTGCTCGGCAGTCAGGGCGCCCATAAAGGAGGACTTCTCCTAGGAGAGCCCAACCCAGTTCTCCGGACGGAGTGCTCCGTAATGCTGAGCGCAATCCTCCGTGGAGTCCAGACCAAAAGGCGGGAGGGCTCAGGACATGAATTATGAAAGGACTTGGACTCGAACCCCGCTGCGAGGTGAAACACCGGCCGATCGGCTGGAAAGGAGACCTATTTCCGCGCAAAGCTTGAGCAGCGACAATTGATCGCAATCCCGGTCGATTGGAAGGGATTGGCTCAACACGAAGTCTGTGAGAAGCGATCGATGCCCATAATGCCGGAAATTATGAGTGTTTGGCTGGGTCTTTGGGTGGGATTAGTCAGGCACGTTCGCTCCTCATGGATCTCGGAGATTGAATTAATTAACGGGAGGTCGAAAGGACTGATCTGGATCCTCGGGAGGAGTCGAAGAAATCTTGGTTGGGCGCTGGTCCACCGGCAGTGATAAATCAGCGTGGGCGTGGTGAACTTGGCAGCGCGGCTTCTTTGTTTATACACACCGGAATCAAGAGAGTAGTCGATGGAGACGCGGGATGGGGGGGAGATTAATGACTTCATGATGATGTTGCCGACCCTTGGATCGCGTCTGCTTATCCTTGGATTGATTGGGGAGCACCAACCGACGTCGTGCCTGTGCCTGAGCGTGTACCTGAGTCTAGTCTCAGTTCCTGTTGTCTGTGCCTGAGTTCTACCGAGAGTGGGCGGAGATAATCCGGACCCGTTTGCACTTTGCAGCTCTCTTGTCCCGTCCGGTCAGCTAGTTACCTGGAAGTGGTAGGTAAGCAAGTCCAGTCCCCCGACTAGTAGTATTCCTTTTACTAGTGTATAGTTTCCGTACCACTGGGCGTACCAGTCACTAACCACAAGCTGGTCTAGTCAGGGGCATCCACCCTTCGCTGGCAGGAAGGCTGGCTGACCTGACAGTCTCTTGGGGAGGGATTCATCTTCCCGCTACTCCGGACTGGGTGAGGCGCTTCTCAACCGCGTAGGGCGATACAATATTACCGTATTCAGGACTCCGTATTTCAGGGCCTCTCCAGTAACTACTCGTCTAGGTAGGGACGGAGGAAGTAGGTTCGACTATCCAACGGCTGTCATTTCTTCCCGAGACACGATCAATCATCATCACTCTGCTTCTGCCGCTCGACAGAAATTGTTGCCCACTCGCTACAGGCCTCCACCAGACCCTCAGATTCATTCAATGGCCGGCACAGAATCTACAGATGACGTGTTGGATCTCTGATGACAATGGTTCATCGAATTCTGGGCCTTGCAAACCGGTCCACACCAACCAAGAGAATCACAAACCACTTCGCCTAGTCCGCACAAGAAACCGGTTCCCAAAGTCCCTGCTTAGTAACCTGGACGCGAAGAAGGTACGGAGTAACTACTATCTATGGCTGCTTGTCCACCAGGGTTATGTCCATACTTTATGTTGCCTTGCTGATGCTTCCGTACGACGGGCGAGTTAGGTTACGCCTCTTCCTTTCCCCCTAATGAGGGGTACGCACTATCTAATGCATGTTCGATGTTGCACTTGTCCCTCTGCCTGCTCCGGACTCCATTCGGGGCCACAGCCATCCCTGTATCCCTCTGAAGGCGGGCTCCATTGCGGAGCACCTCGTACGCTTGGATCTCAACTAGCTGCATAGAATACATGTCCATGCGGGATGACTGCAGGCCATGTACTCCGATGTCGTCCGCGAGTCCATCAGAACGACCCGATAACCGTCTGCTAATGCCGATGATATCAAATACTCGCGTCCAAGCAGCGTGGGGACATCCATCGACCCAGTCATGATGGATCATGGGATGCCCGACGGCAGTCGTAGTGATCGTCCCGCTCGTCCAAATTTCCGGAACCCCTCTAGCGGTCCTGGGATAAAGTTCAAGGGCATGAAACAGCATCCGATAGACAGGTCATATTTGGCGAGGATGAAAGGGATCCAGCTCAGCTGGTCGCTTCAGATTGTGCCCCCAGATATCGTGATTGCCTCATCTAGAGGACCACTGGAGGCAATTATTGCTTCACTACGGAGTAGATCAAACACCGCCGCTGAATGTCTCAAGGGGCGCACATCACAGTAAAGGATGCCTGGAGCTGCTCGAGGTCGAGGCTTAGGCTTCAGCCTTCAGCCCCGGATCGGCCCACATCCCGCGAGACGCGGTCATAATCGATCGTACAAATCCGTCTCTGGTTCCCGTCGACCGGATTGGGTTTCCGGTCGAGGTGGACGGAGAAGCAATATATTTTCCTCCTTGAATTGACGCGGAGATACGGAGTACGGAGTATAGGCGTCAAGCCTTCAACATTAGAACCTCCAGAGTGGAAGCTCGGCGAGAAAGGGTTGTCATGGGGCAGCCAGCGATACGGTAAAGGGGAGGTAAGGTACCCGACAGGACCCAGTGGCAGAGCTCCATCCGATTTGCAGTTCATTCATGGCCGGTGGAGCCTGCAAGGGGCATTGGGCCCTAGCCCGCGGTACGGTAACGGTATGGGAGCCCATCCATGGTTTCTGTGACAGTTTATTATTCGGGACTGACTGTTTACTGTTATGATCCAGGCACCAGAGCCGGTGGAGTCGGGCCAGCAAATAACCTTGTTGCGCCCGGTGGGAAATAATGTGGTCGTCCCCGGTGACAATGATGATGGGATTGCACTGAGCGATGCAGCTCAAGTCGGTCTTCATCAGACACTTCCTAGTATCAGCTGCGATGGGAAAAAGAAAGTAGTGTGGCACTGAAAATTCGGACTGCAGGAAAACACCCTTGAGATGGATTAGAAAACCAACCAGCGAATCTCGTGTCGATCCGCTTTTCTCCAGGACCACCGGCGTGGCCAATGGGCCCCAATAATGCGCTTCCACTGACTGGACTGGTCCGTAATAATCACCCAGAACCATCGGCCAGCTCTGAATTGATCATGGAAAGGCCAGGACCGAGTAGAAAAATAGGGACCGGGAAAAAAGAAAAAAAAAAAAAAGTGACGATCGAATGGAATCCAGATCCCTTCTTTTTTTCTATCCTTCCAATCCTTCCACACTGATCGTTCCTTTTTCCTCTTCACCTTTCATTTTCTTTTCTTTTCCTTTCTGCCCTCGGATTACTTCTCGTGTCGCCGACACTGTCACTCATTTTCCCACCCTATCAATTCAATTGCGCTTTGGACCGTCGCCCCGAACTATCGACGCGATCATTTGCTTGGGGGCCTCCACTCGAGATATCGCGACTTGCCTACTCCGCTCCCGCTGTCGACGGTGCAGCCACATTCCTTCCCGGCTCATGCAGACGCCCAATCTGTCCAATCCGACCGATATTAACATCTGCACTTAGTACACTCTTACTCCTCGGTCATTATTATTATTCCTCTTTCTTTCCTCACGCGCGGTATCGACCTTAACCCAGCCCACTCTGCAAGCTACACCCACTATTGGCACCCTGTCGCCCCCCCCGTGACTCTGGCGTTCCCAGGGGATGACTGGTAATTTGGAATCGCATCCATTGCCCTAGCTTTTTCAACGCCATTCTTCTCCGACTCAGTCGTTCGTTTTGCTCCCCTATTCCAGTCTTCGCCTGGTAGGTTTATGGTCCATCCAGCATCAAATCAATTGTGCGCAACCGGCGGATGTCTGACGGGTGTGCTCTTACACAGCATTGTGTCGGTGTATGTGTCGGAACGGCTGCCACTCCTTTACGCGGTGAACCCCTACTGTCGAACATCGATCTCGCAATCGCCTTGCCCGTCGCTCCCTACACCGGTCCACCATCACCATGAACCGATTTCGCAAGACTAAGAAGGAGAAGGTGAAGGAAGATGGCGAGGGGCCCGAAAGCAGCACAGTCAGCCTCAGCTCCATGTTATCGAAGAAGACGAAGAAGGAGGAACCCGAGGAGAAACAGGACTTCGACCTTTCCAGCGCATTGCCCTCGACCGACGACTTTCGCACGAGTCTCCTGATGCCCAAGTTATCCGCACGCTTCAGCATGCTACGAGAGCAAGATGACCCGGAATCGATAATCGGGAAAGCGAGTGATGACAGTGTTCTCTTCCCGCGGCGTGCCTCGCGCCTGAACCTCTTTGGTCACAACCCAGGCCTGCTGGGGGATATCGACGAGGTCTCTATCGACAGTCGTCGGCCATCCATCGCTCTCGGGCGCACACACTCCCTTGCCTCAGAGAACAATGGCTATGGTACGGACGACGATCCCTCCCAACAAGGGAGCATCATGAGCAGGGCTCGTCGAGCCGAAGGCAACAACTTGTTCGGCGGACGGCAAAAGGTGTATAAGATTCCCTCCAAGGCGACATCCTCAACCGGAGATTCGGAGTCTGGACGCATGGGTGGCCGTGCGCTCTATGAGCACGATCTGACCATGTCTGCCTTTCAACGACTGAAGTTAAAGGAGCGCGAGGAGGCAGCGATGGATGAGACACAGCAAGAAAGCCCCTCCCAGGAGTCAGAAGACGCACTGTCTAATTTTGGTTCCACGAAACGGACGACCTTTTCCTCGACTGCGTCTGGGCCTACGTCGAATGCCCGCACATCAACTGCGGCGACATCTTTCGATGAACAGTCATTCATTGCGCCCCCGTCGCAACCGGAGACACAGGTTTCCTCGTCCAAACCTCCGTTGCCCGGCATGGCTCCCGAGCGTGGCTCCGTCAAAGCCCGCCGGCTTTACGGGCAAGGATTAGCGCAATCGGCCCAGAACCAGCAGACATCGACCTTGCAACGACTCGAAAGTCTTAGCCGCCAGCGCGCAGGGGCCCCAGAGTTGCCTCCCCTGAACCGTGCCTTTTCCAGAAGCGCCACGAACTTACGCGACAGATTGCAGCCACTCACCGTTGCCGAACCCGCCGCCACTTCCCGGCCAACCAGCCCTCCATCGTTGCCCAGGTCGCCAGAGCACTCCACCAGGTTCAATCCCAGGGAACCGCAAACTCAAGCAAGTTCTGCCTACGGAGCCCCTCCGTTGAGTCCCCCCGCTAGCGAGTACGAAGATAAAGCCCCCTTGATGGCCGCTCTACATCCGGAAGATCATGGGAAAGCCACAGCATCCGGCATGTTCAACAAACCCAGCAGCATGTTTGACGAAAGCCAGTTCACGCGGCGTCAAGTACAGATGCACCAGGGAAGGGAGACGCCGCCTTTGGCGCGACTTCCACCGCTTCCCGTTCAAGCTATTCCCCAGGAACACGCTGGTCGTGCAAGGGGGCTATCCAACACGAGCTATGTGTCCAGACCCGGCTCTGCATCTTCTCATTATAGCGAGGCTCAACGCCCAGGGAGCCGGTCAATTGTCCACGCCTCCCCGGCCAGGAATGCCGATGAGACATTTTTCTCCAACCCCAGTCCTAGTGACTCCGAGGATGAAAGCGGTGCCTCGCGCTACACCCCGGACGACATTCATCCGGCCCTTCGGCCCGAAACCCCGTCTAAACCCTCTACTCCCACGAGCGAACACCGGAGTCCTCTGCCTGAAGTTCGATACTCAGACCTTGGGGATCTGAAGCCTATCGCGGAACACGATATTGTCGAGAACCGTCCCGAACACGAGGATATCCCCGAAAAGCCCGATTCACCCACCTTGGGACCAGCCGGTCTGGGCCTCAGCGGCCTCGTCCGTACTCACCTACGATGCAACAGCGATAGGTCGTCCATCTACCCGCCTCCTTCTCCTGGTCTCCCCCCGAAGCCTATTGAGGCCGAGACGCCGGAAGAACCCGTCCTACAGCACCAGGCGGGCGCGCCAAACAGCTCGCACTGGCAAAGCGAGCTTGTGTCAAGACATCGGCGCGAAGGGAGCACGGAGACACAGCGGGAACGCGAAGAGTTCGCCAACGAGCTGGCAGAGAGACGGAGGAAGGTGCAGGAAAAGCTTCGGGGATTTGCAGAGGGCGAGAGCCGGTCGGCCAGTCCAGTCTCAGGCCGTCAGACGCCGGATTTCACCCCCAGCAAGCCCGGCAATGCCTTTTCCTTCCTGAAGAACAAGTCGAGCAAGCAGCATCTGTTCCACCGGCAGGATCAGAAGAATGGGAGGGGCCTGAACCTGGCCAATGCATCGACCCCTGCTTTGGTATCGGACGACTCGTGGCGTGAAGAGGAGGAGCGGCCATCGTTCAGTTTCGCCAAGCACGCCAACTCTAGCTCGCCCCATGTCGCTGCGGAGAGATCCTTCCGGTCTAAGGTGTTCGGACGCAGTAGCCAGGACGATTCGCGCGAGTCCAGCCGTAGCCGTGGTGCCTCTCCACACTCCAGCTTCCGGTCTCGCCGCGATCGCTCGACCTCGGATGCATCTGGTCGGTCTAAGAGTCGCACGCGGCGAGACCGCGAGGGATTGGAGACCCTCGAAGAGGTCGCTCACGGTGCCCACAAGCCCTTTGCGTTTCCCGATTACGATCACCACGGATTGGCCTCTGTGCCCTCTTCCACTCGTGTCTCCGCCGAAGTCATGGAGCCCGTCATGTACGATCGGTCCTCCTCTGCCGCGTCTGGACGGTATCGCAGTGACAGTCGATCGGCCGTGTCGAGCTACCACGAGCGCCCCTTCTATCCCCCAGGCCCAGCGGCCAGCACGACCTCTCTAATCGGGGCTGCCCCGCGGCCTTCGCCCATCGCTCCCTATTCCGCCAATGCCACGCCCCCCTTGGAGGACGTGTCTCAGGGCGCCTCGTTGACCCCCGTGCTCACCAACAGCAGCACCCACACTGCGCCTCCCCAGCGTGCTCTGGGAAATAACGGTCTTCAGAAGCGGATGGTCAGTAAGGCGCTAATTTCGGAACCCCGGTTTGTCTCGTGCACCTCGAATGTCCCAACCGTCGGCCTTCCTCCCGGCGCCAGCTTGAGCAACGGCATGCAAACGCCGCCGATTCCACCCATGAACCCCCGCCGTCGCCGTCAGACCACTACGCAGACCATTCTCGGTGCCCTGAAGGGCGAAAAGCACGAGTCGCAGTATGCCCCGTCTCTGGATGCCGCCATGATGGAAGAAATCAGCAATTTCTCCGACGACGGCGAGAAGCGGCCTCGATCCCGAGCCCGGCTTCGCAAGACGTCCAGCGAGGGAGGCAATCTGAACGCAAAGGCGCGACAGCAGCTTCAGCAGCTCATGTCTGAGGCACCCCCTGCCGTTCCTTCCTATCCCCCGCCGAAGATCCCCATGGATGGCGGGATGTTCTAATCTCTCAACCCTTCGATCCTTCCACTCAGCCCTTTCTTCACTCTTTCTCTTTCTTTCATATTTCGTTTCTTCACTACCGTTCTCCGACCATGATGTATTACTCGATGTCCTGAACTAGCATTCTGCATTCTAATGTTCGATACCTCTCGTTTGGAATTCTCGCATACATCATGATATACCAACAGCGTTATGTTGAGCGGACAGGACATGACTGTCAATTTCCTATGCTTGTGATCCATTCTTTCTGTTAGCGATTTCATTGTGTTATCAGAAAATCCTATACCAGATGGTAATATCAGAAATTCATATTAATCAACCATACGCCTGAACCTGTTTACACTTCACAACCACTCCCCCCAACCTTCATTTCACAAGAACACAACCCCACCAAGTGAGTGACCCCGTTCACTCGGCAGACCCGCATCGCATCGTTCACTCCCCGCCGTGCCAACCACTCCCGTCCTGATCACGATACGCAGTCACGACCACACGGGATCACGTGTATCACTGAACCCTCAATCAGATACGCTCCTACCATGCAAAATACCATGTAGATGAACATACACCTCATTTCCCACTATCACAGAAAAGAGGTTCTAGAGCCTGTAACCGTGAACTTGTTCAAAATGTATGAAGTCGGGAATGCACTTCTCAACTACCCAAGTTGACTCACAAGAGTGATACGATAGTGATAGTGCAGATGATAATACGCCCCTCGTCGAACGCCATACGAAGCTAAACTACATCCATCTGATCCAGTGAAGGAATTACAACACGACAGTGAGAATTTTTGTTTACTTGCGTTTACCTAGAAAATAAAAGAAAAAAAGTTTTCTCGTGTTTCCCTTCTTCCCCCTTCTTCTTTTCCTCATCGTCTTCGTTTTCTTCTGCTTCTTCAGACAGACAGAGAATGAATCGTTATCAGTGACGAACTGTGATCTTCCCATCAAGAACAACACGAAGAACATAATCCACATCGTTGTCTTTCTTGCTTTCTATCTTGAACCAGATACTTTCCTACTTGCTTCCCGTGATCCAATATCTCGAACGAAAAAATAACCACACCTCCAAGCGAAACCGTGGTATATGCGTATATGTGCATACCCGGTCAAGTATCCATGAAACGACGCGAGTCATTCTGCACGTCGGAGTTACCGTGTTTCGTGGAATCGCTGGATAGTTTCTTTTGCGTCTCCCGGACGGGTGGAAACATCATGGGTCCGGAGATTCGTCGGACGAGGTCGGCGGACCCGGTTTTGCCGTGTCTGCCGCAGGTGGATGGGTCGGCGGAGAAGCGCAAGGTCAAGAAGGGGAAGGCGAAGAAGAAGAGTAATAAGAAGGGGAAGAGTAAGAATAAGGGGAAGAGTGCTGTTGTTGTTGCTGGTGGTGGTGGTAGCGGTGGGGGTGGGAGTGGGGTTGAGGAGGGGGTAGTGGTGGTTGAGGTGGTGCAGACGGAGGAGGTGACCGTGCTGACTGAGGATGGACGTGGTGGTGAGGATGTTGGGACTGCTGGTAATGGTGATGGCGATGCTGGTGATGCTGGTGTGATGGTTGAGGAGGAGGTGAAGGAGAGTAAGGGGTCGCCTCCGTCTTATGCCAGTGTCGCTGGGGATGAGATCGTCGATGAGAAGACCGCACCAGAGTCTCCGGGTAGAACTCCCTCCGCGACTCAGGCTGCTTGCCTGAAGGAGCGCATCTTGGCGGCGTTGAGTATCTCTCGGGATGGACCTCAGTCTCAGCGCCGGGTGAGCTCTCCGAGTGATCAGGCTGGCCCGTCTGGTGTGAAGGGGGCTCGGGGTGATGTCGAGGAATCGTCTCCTAGGGTTCAGTCCGGCGGTAGTAGTATCGACAATGACCGGCCCGCTGACAATGCGAGTGTCGGAGAGCACGCTGCCGCCGATGAAAACCATACCGCCAGCAATCCAAACCCGGATCCCTTTGCCTCGCACGCAGACGACTCTTCGGAAGGCACGGTTCACATCACGGGTGCCGGTGACGACAAGGGCTACTCCCATTTCACGGCCTATGACCGAGAGGCCCTGCTTTTCTGTCACGTCCACGGACGGCAACTCTGTCGCTTTGACCCTAGCTGCTGCGTGCATAGGCCATTGGCTGACTGCGGCTGTCCTCCGAGACAGTCATGCTGCTGTCTACACCATAATGGCGATTGCTGCAGTTGCTTGACGACTCGCGAGGATGGTCCTGCTAGAAGCGGTGTTGAGACGCCCAGTCACACTGGTCAGGCTGTCGGAGACGGTGATGTGGTTGCGGAAAGCAACACTGCGGGTGCAAAGAAGAGTGAGTTGGACTGGATGCCACATTCGGTTCGTGATGAGCTGACCAATGCCAGACATGGATGACAAGTTCATCGGCGTGGACACACTCTCAACGCACTTCCTCCAGCTGTATGAGAAGCGTGATCTCTGCGATTTTCATATCCTGCTGAAGTCGAGCAACGGGATGTTCCAGCCAGTCATGATCCCTGTTCACGTCGCCGTCCTCGCCCGCAGTCCGTTCATCTCTGCGCTTCTGCAAACTCCGATTTACCGACAGGGACACCGCGAGATTGTGGCCGTGCTCGGCGATCAGGTCAACCTAATTCACGGCTTCGAACACGCGGTGCGGAACTTGTACGGGTCACCTCTTCTGCAAGGTGAGCGGCTGCGGTCTGCGGCCCTGGCCGTGCTGGGGTACGCCGAAGAAAGCCAAGGAATGTATCCATTCCCAATCAACATCGCCATGATTGATCTAGCCTTCTCGTACGCCGCGTCGGGGGCCTTCCTACAAGTGAACAGCATTCTCGAAGCTGGTGTCCGGATGGCGTTGAATCTCGTGGACTGGGACACCGTGGAACCGATCTTTCACTTTGGCCTCTGCGTCGACGACTTCTCGATCTTCCTCGAGGGCACGGTCACGCCTCCGGACCCCGTGCCCGACAATCAAAGACACATCTCGACTCGAAGCCGGGAACTCAGAGAAATCTGGGCTCCCCTCCTGGTCCGGGCTGCGCTGAGTTTCATTGTCGACAACATCGATCCTCAGTTCGTCTTGTACCCCCACGCACTGAGCATGTGCATCCCCAATCGTATCCCGGAGTATCTGACCGGTGCTGCCGGGATCGCTCCGAAAAGCGTCCGATCAGTACCGAACAATCTGCCCAGGCGCGAGGTCGTGATCACGTCGAGTGTCTTGCTCAATCTCCCCTACATACAGCTGAAAGAGGTCTTTCGGGTGTTGGCTGCACGTCGGGTATTATCGAACGACCTTGCCCAGGCGATCATTGTCGAACGGGAGGCGCGCCGCCTGCAAGGCCTGCGAGCGCTGGCTAGGCAGGGCGATATCCCCGACCCCGAAATACCCAGAGAGGTCAGGGAACTGGGTCATCAGGAGCTGCTCGTGTCTCGCAGTGTCTACTCCGAAACCCAGGGCCCAGGGACCGTGACGATGGAGATCACCCTGGAGAGAGAGTGGACTGGGTTGGTGGTGTCCGATACTCTCAGCCACACCCTCTCGCCCAAGTGAGATGGAAGAGAGGGTGTGGACACTCCGACTCTGTGTTGTTTGACTCTGATGTGATGCTGTGAAGGTGATGGAATTTAACAAACGATGGTTGAGAGAAGGTGGTTGATGAGGAGAGAGGATGAGAGGAACAACACAGAAGATGAGGAGAGGTAAACACCAGGGGTCGAAGCGGTGAGCAACAGCAGTACAGATTTTCTTTTCGTTTTCGTTGTTATTTCAGGAGGGGTTTAATGTGCGTGAATGGTTCTCGCTTGTTTAAGGAGGCGTTGCTGGATTCACTGGCAGAGATGCACGTGCTCACACGGACAGAGTTATGGGACGGTTGCTGTTGTTCTTGTTCTGCACACTTTTGTTGAGATACCAAGTGGATATCGTAATCAAGTCATTTCATTTATGCAATGGAACATCAATTCATGTACGGGTGCCACGGTTCACTAGTCTATCCTTCTATGCCCTGTCTGCTATTCCGAAACCAACCTCACTCACCAGGAGCTTATACGCGGCCAATCTTGTCGGGGAATCCAAAGTCGAGCCTGAAAGGAGGGAAGACAAAACGCTGGAATGCATCCTTAGCGGCCAGGTCGTTCGTGTATTTGGCAATCGTAGCCATGTCAGCGTCATCAAGTGCGACCAAGTTGCGGTTGCCCTCAATACGAGAGGGGTTCACAGACTTTGCCAGAACGGAAGAACCACGGTTGACTATAGGGCCCACTTAGTGATTGTTTTAAGCAGCATTCAATAGGAGGATACATACTGTGCCAGCTCAGAAGGACTGTGGCGGGATCGACTCCCTTTCTCTTCGCAACCTCGACGATAGGCTCGGCCGTTAGCAGCGGACTGCCCGTGCTTCCGAGCGGGCTGTATGCGGTGACGTGAATGTTCTTCTCCTTGCAAAAGTCGACAGCCTCCTGCTGGGGAAGGCAGGGGTGGTTCTCGATCTGGTTGACGGCCGGGACCACAGTGGCCTCAGCGAGGAGCTCCTCGAGATAAGGCCTGCTGTAGTTGCAAACACCAATCGCCTTAGCCTTTCCGCTGCCGACCAGCTTCTCCATACTCTTCCAGGTGGTGATATGGGAATGGTTGAGATGCAGATCACGAGAACCATCCGGAAGAGTGGGGATGTTGGGGTGGTTTCCTTTGCTGTGTCAATAGGTGCATCATTCGCAATCTTCCTGACTGGGGACTCACCATTAGGGTTCATGGCCACGGGCCAGTGAACCAGATAGAGGTCAACATAGTCCAGTCCCAAGTTCTCCAAGCTCTTGTTCAGACCCTCTTCCACACGGTAGTGCCAGGTGCTCCACAGCTTGGTGGTCACAAAGAGGTCCTCTCGCTTGACGACTCCAGACTCAATGGCCGCCTTGATGCCCTTGCCAACTTCTCCTTCGTTGCCATAGGCAAACGCGGTATCGATGTGTCTGTATCCCACCGAGATGGCGTGCGCCACGGCTTTTTCCACCTCTCCGGGACCCGATTGCCAGGTTCCTATACCAAATAAGCTAGAGCTTTCTGGTGACGAAGGAGCAATGTCATACCGAGTCCGAGGGCGGGGATTTCAGCCCCGGTGTTCAGCTTGAAGCGGGTGTCCGCGACGGTCGAGGTTGATCCCATTTTGGCGATATACGTAAGAGCGAGAAATTGAGCGAGAAGTGCAAGGTCTGCGCAGTAGAACTGAGAAAGAAGAGAAGAAAAGAGACGAGAGCAATGGCGAAGAGGAAGAGAGGAGGGGCAAAGAAGACCCCCACGCGGGGTTTCCTCCACCTTCCCGCCATTCGGAGCAAATGGGGCCGAGTCGCTCTCCTTCGCTGGGCCGAGTTCGGGCTTTCTCAACTCCTCGCAGTCAATTCCATCATACACTCAACACGCTCATTCTTTCTATCTCATGAGGTCTGTCCTATTCATTGGCTTCATCTCTGATGTGTTAACCGTCCACACCGACTGACAGAGAGCAATGCAGAGCAAAAGCAAGCCCAGGGCATCCCCACACGGCGGGAAGCTCAGTCCACGAGTCGATAGCCGTCGTGTCCCGTCACTGCAGCTCCACTCAGGGACACTGATTAAGACCGCGCGACTGAATGGAAATCCGAATCTACTTCGATTGTAGGAGCGTCAACGGATGATCAGATCAAGATGAGGATCAGGCACAATACTGGCCAGCGACATGATCGCCGCGGCGACCCCTGCTAGGGAGGCTGCAGACCATCCCAGCCCGGCCAGACTGCAACTTAGCAATGAAGGGGATTTCTTTGGTCGACCCCGGGCCGTGCGTGAACCCGAGGTTCGTCCGCCGTCGGAAACCAGTATCCTAAAGGCGCCCCATCGCAGCAGCCAAGCCGTGGCTGGAAGGAATGATTTCACTTCTCCGCAATGTTGAGCCATCCAATGGATCCAGATCTGTATGACCGATCTAACACGTTCCACAATGGTGGGGATGATCCCAGGGGCGCAGAAGCCTATCACCGACTGCTCTCTGTTGCGGAAGCCACTTTCCGACTCCAGGCATGCTCGCAGCTTGCGGCGCCAAGGGCTCGACTATTGATTCTCATCGGATTTCTAGAATCACACAACGTCATCCACACACAATGCGGGCTTCGGGGGTTCGGAAATACCATACTTTTTTCGGCCACCTAGTGCATAGACATTGATATTTATGCTCCCTCCTCTTGAGCTGTTTCTCTCCCAGCAACACCCTCAGAGCAGCCGTTGATACCCAAGCTCAAAGTCCATTCTCTCATACATCATTCTAATACTCCATCAATGGCACCAGTTGCAGTGGCCTCTGAAGCCCCGGTGTTCAACACCAAGCGTGACGGACAGGCTCTCGAGGAGCTGTCGGACGCCATCGACACCGTTAACGTCCTCAAGGACAACCTCAAGAAGGAGAAGGGTCTGTACGAAGAGTCCGAGTTCGACAAGAACAAGGACAAGACCAAGTTCCGCCAGTATGAAGATGCCTGCGACCGGGTCAAGAACTTCTACAAGGAACAGCACACCAAGCAAACAGTGGCCTACAACCTCAAGGCTCGCAACGAGTTCCACTCCAAGACTCGCGCCGAGATGACCATCTGGGAGGCGATGGAGAAGCTCAACACCCTCATCGATGAGTCCGACCCCGACACCAGCCTGTCCCAGATCGAGCATCTCCTCCAGTCCGCCGAGGCCATTCGCCGCGACGGCAAGCCCCGCTGGATGCAGCTGACCGGTCTCATCCACGACCTGGGCAAGCTGCTCTTCTTCTTCGACGCCCAGGGCCAGTGGGATGTCGTCGGTGACACCTTCCCCGTCGGCTGTGGCTTCGATGAGCGCATCATCTACGGCCGCGAGTCTTTCAAGGACAACGAAGACTACGGCCACCCCATCTACGACACCAAGTTCGGCATCTACAGCCCTGGCTGCGGTCTCGACAACGTCATGCTCTCCTGGGGCCACGACGAGTACCTCTACCACGTGGTCAAGGACCAGTCCACCTTGCCAGACGAGGCCCTGGCCATGATCCGCTACCACTCGTTCTACCCCTGGCACAACGCCGGTGCGTACCACGAGCTGATGAACGACCACGACAAGGAGATGTTCAAGGCTGTCAAGGCCTTCAACCCTTACGATTTGTACAGCAAGAGCGACGATGTTCCTAGCCCGGCAGAACTGAAGGTGAGTCCTCCCCCAAACCTCGGAGGAAGTAAACCACATACTAACAACCTCAACAGCCCTACTACCTCGAACTGATCAACGAATACTTCCCCAACCCCGTGATCAAGTGGTAAACCAGAAATGACATGATGTATGATTTCACATGTATTGCTTCTCCGATACCTCTTGCTATTCCCCTTCTCAACAACAGCATTCACGCAAGCGATGATTTACGAATACCTTCTTCTTCTATCTATACTCCCCAAATCAAGCACGGGATGAATCCAATCCCCTCCTTCATCTTTCCACATTTTCTTCTTTATCAAAGTAAGCACCGTAAACCACTCGACGATCCCTCCAATCACCTAGGATAGTATTAAAATCCATCGACCCCTCATCTCGTACCCACGCACGGCTAAACACTTAACCTTAGCCACTTAACACCCACCCAATAAGTAAAAAGTACTATGTAATGGACGATCATGTTAACGTACCACACCAATAAGAAATCCGGCTTTGAGCAGGACTCTGTAAGCGGAAGACGTAGCTCGGAAACAAGGTCCCGAATCGATGTCGGCCGGGCGGTCGGTCGGTCGGTTGCCACACACGGTCACACGCACGGGGAATGGGCCCTTGCCGGGGCGGTTGGTTGGTTGGTTGGTTTGGGTTGGGTTGGGTTGGGGGTTGTGGGGCGGGGAGGTACACAGTAGGCCCATAGGGGACTAGGGAGGTAGGGAGCTAGAGCTAGAGCTATGGGATTTATGCGGCATGCATGAGTGCATGTAGGTAGGTAGTTAGCTAGATAATGCAGAGTGTGGAAAAGCGACTATCTACTCTGTATGTATGTACTCCGTATGGGGAGGTTGCGGAGAGGGGGGATGGATGGTTTTTTTATCCTTCTTTCTGGGTAGTTGTATCAGGGGTTAGATCCGATCATTGTATGTTATTATATGTGGATAGGATGTACTACTGTGTATGTAATGAATACGGTGCTGAGGATGAGTTTCTACTTCTCCGTAGAGGTAAACATGTTTGTTTCAAATAACGATTGCGCTTTTCATTAACATCAATAATCATAACATGATTCTATCGTGGTCTATCGTATCTAGAGTCTTGACTTGGGAATCCGCTGGCCATCCTCGTCGAAGAAGATCTTCTCGCCCGTGATCAGGGATTCTTGAAGGGCGCTGCCGATGCGGACGGCCTGGACCGCACCCTCGAGCTTCAGCGGGACAGGAGTGTTCTCGAGGCAGCAGGCCGTGAACTCGTTCGCCTCGGTGACAAAGGCATACTCGAAGCGATCGTAGTAGTGTTGGGGAATCTCGCGACGGACACCGTTCTCGTCGAAGATGTTGACCAGGTTCAGCGCGGGCTGCGTGTTCACCGCCAGCTTACCCTTGGTACCGATGATTTCGGTGGTGTCTTCCTGACCAGCGGCCATCATACGCGAGGCGTAGAAGTAGGCAATCTTGCCGTTGTAGAACTCCACCAGACCGACGGCATTGTCTCGGTCGTTGTGCTTGCGCAGGTCGGGCTCGACGGCCGTGATACCCACCGCGGACACAGACTTGACCTTGCTGTCTTGCCCGAAGAACCATAGAGCCAAATCGATATCGTGAATGGAGCAATCGACGAAGATACCTCCGGAGAACTCGGCGTAGGCGACGAAGAATCCGGTCGGGTCGAGCTTGTCGCAGGTCTGACTGCGCATGACGGCGGGGGCACCAATGGAACCGGCAGACATCTTGGTGAAGGCATCACGGTAGGAGGCATCGAAGCGACGGGAGAAACCGCACATCACTTTCAGGTGGGGATTCTTGCTGGCTGCGTCGAGGACGGTTTGGGACTATGACCAGAGTTGTTAGGTGCAATGATTGGGAGGATGGGAGACAGGGGGACCATACGATTTCGACACTGGTCGACAAGGGCTTCTCGCAGAGAACGTTCTTGCCGGCCTCAATGGCCTTGATGGCCTGTTCGGCGTGCACGGCTGTCGCGGACGCAACGACGACGGCCTCCAAGCCTTCATGCTTCAGCATGTCGTCGTAGTTCTTGTATAGCTTCACTCCGTACGGAGCGAGGTGCACCTTGCCCCATTCCAGCTCGGTGTCATCGGGGGTGCTGACGGCGACCAGGTCCGCGCGGGGAGTGCGCTGCAAGAAGTTGAGGGCATGACGCTTGCCCATGCGGCCCAGGCCAGCGCAGCCAATCTTGAGCTTTCTGGCAGACATCGTGATGATGGAAGAGTGAAATGAGGGAGCAGGAAAAGAATTGAGTTGGGGGAAGGGTCTTGTGTAACAATGCGGAGAGGATGTGAGGAGAATTGAGACGATTGAGCAAAGAACACAGCGAGGACGAGGAATTTAACCAGGGCGACGACGCCAGCAAGAGTCGGTCTAGCTGGCTCGGAAAAGATGCGGAGAAGCTGGAGCTGCCAGCGTGCCAAGTGCCTCGTCCCCCAGCTACGAGTTGGCAGGCGAACGATCACCACCACCGCTGCTTGGTTGGCTGGCTCCGGTGGATCCTCGCTGCGACCCCGGATATCATCCTCCAGACTGGCCCCCTGGGTCGGGACACGGTCGGAAAAGGGGTTCCTGGAGGGGAAGTATTCGGGAGCTCCAGCATCCAGGCTTCCACTGGGATAAAATGGGCCTGGCTCCTCATGAGGGGATTGACTGGCAGCGCGACGTGCAACAATTCCTCCATCAGGAAGAACACTTCCGGTTTGGGCACCACCCCCAAAACGGGATCCCCGGGACAACTTCCCCCCGCCGGGGTTGGTGGGCGGGGATTCCTACCTTTCCGGGGTAGGCTGGGGTCTGAACAACTCCAAGATGTGCATCACTGCATCTATCTACAACCATTCAATCATGGAGTAATTACTTCCTGAATGGCGGGGTACATGCTGTCTCCATATGGTTGTTTGCAATCTTGATTCATGATAAGTCTATCCATTCAGAATTGGGTGTTCATTAAAATGTTTACCGGTGAAATGAAGTCAAGTAAGGGTAGATTAAGGATAGGTCAGTAGTGAAAATGCAGACCAAATTACGGCAAGCTAATCAAGCATAAAATCTGGCAAATTTTCAACACCATCCATTGTAGTGTAACGGCTATCATACCTGTCTTTCACACAGGAGATCGGGGTTCGATTCCCCGCAATGGAATCTTCTTTTTCTTTTCCCCTTCCTTTTTGCATCTCCATACGGTCAATTAGGACTTGCTCAATCCCAAACGCTGACAAGGTGGCAACCAGAGCATGCCTCTGTGTCTGGCCACCCCTCAAACCCAGCCCTACCACCTCCCTTTCCCGCCTTCCAGACCGCCATACAACTGCCATTATTCTGCCCGATTATTGATAAGGACTGATAAGCCCTTTCCCTATTTGGGCCAAAACATGGGGTGAATATTCACATCGAATTCACCATGGAGACTGTGAAAAGACTTTTACACGATGTCTCTATACTGTCGATAGTATCTACCTACCCCACTACTACGCCTCCTCTCTATTCTACCTCCCCTCCATCTTACCGTACTGTCTATCATCACTAGTATCTTCTTATCCCGCAATGAGTAGTGGTAAGCATTCTACAATCCCCCCCATAAAGCAATTCTCAACCTCGCAAGGCAAATTCAAATGGTCCCGAGAGAACCTCATCTCTTACCTCGGTGGCGATGAGAACGATCTCAATACCGTCAAAATCGAATTGACCAACCTGCTCCTGGACCATGGCATGATGCACCGCTCCTGCGCTAACCTGGAAGGTAGAGTCCAGCAGGAGAAGTTCATCCTATGCAATCTACCCAAGATCCATCCCTATGTCCGGAGCTGCACCCGTCAACGCTTGCAAGGTCTCATGGGATTGGTCAGCATCATCAAGAGAAACTATAAGTCGGGAGAGCGGTACAAAATAGCTGCTGCGCGGAGGAGCCAAAGCCTTCAGAGCGGTGGAGAAGAGAGGATTAATTCAGAGGGCGAATTGGATGATAAGGCCAATGTTATCACAGCAACCAATCCAGGCAAATCAGCCGATGAAAGGTCTGTTGTTGCTGCTGAGGCACTAGCCCTGCATGATACAATCGGAGAAATATATACCGATCATAGCACTGTTATTACTGAAGCACCTACACATGAGGACCCCATTGTCATCGCTTCCCACGACACTGTCGAGACAGCATCCACCACCACATTTAATCCCATCGAACACCGCCATGAAGGCTTCCTCGGCGCTGCTGAAGAACAACCCCTCCCAAACGAAGTCCAGATGACGTCCACCAACAACCGCCTCACCTCCAACATCAAAACCGAAGCACGAAACCCACCCACAAACAAACAACCCCCAACCTCTGACTCCAAAAGCTTCAACCTCAGCCACAGCTTCCTCACCCGAAACATCTGGGTAATCAACGAAACCGACCCCACCAGGCACGGCTTATGCACGATCCAAGAGCTACGAACCAGTCCACACCATCCCAGCGAGCGAATCCCTAATCTCAACGATCTCAACTTCATTGACTGGATCATCATCATCAAGGATCAGTGTGGATATGACGAGACCATCCATCGCTTGGAGTATCGGCCTGCGTCTACTGTGGCTCCTTGGGAGTCTGGTGAGCCGTTGACGGTGCCGGTTGGGACATTGAGTCAGTGGCGGGGTGCCCTGAATGCACAGTTACGGGATAGGCTGCATACAGATCCGGTGTTTTATTTGATTTGGAAGTGTGAGTTTTACTTTCTTTTTGTGTGGTCTTGGGTTGTTGGGGTGGGGAGGGGAGGGGGTTTGTTGTCGTGGTTTTTATGAGAGCCTTTCGATCATGGTCTTGGTGGTTTTGATTGATGGGGATGGGGATGCTAATGGTAGTAGGATCGTACTCGTATGTCTCGACATATCAGCTGCTCGATTACGATCTCGATCATGGCAAGTGGAGAGGCAGGACGAGGAGGTTTTACTTCGAAATAGTGGTTTCTCGCCTAAGAGATGGCAGTAGCAGCTGGGGAGAATTACAAAAAAGGTGATATTACCAATCAACACTGCCGAAGCCCTCATGGCATGTGATAATGTTTAACTACATACTCCACCTATCGCTGTAAAAAAAGATATAAACATGGCATAAGATACAAAAATACGAGATGACGAAACATGCTAATAGAGCAATACCACAAGTCCATTATGACCATCATGCCTCATTCTCTGCCTTCTTCTGCGCCGCCGCTTTCCTAGCCTTCTTTCTCGCGGCAACCTCCACCGGGTCTGCGAAGCCATCGCCCTTCAACCAAGCCAGGGCCTTCCGTACACCCCGACCCTGGACCGCAGATGGCCGGGTCTCGAGAATAGCTCCCATAAGGGCCCACGCTAGCACGATGATGCACAATTCGCCGCCTTTCCAGCCTTTCCACAATCCGCGCTTGACACCCGTCTTCCACGCCGAGTCTACGGCCGCCCGGAAGAAGTACATGAAGATGCTGCGGCTGTTTCCGAGGAAGGCAAACGGTACGCCTGCGAGTGCGCCACTGAGGAAGAAACGTTTGGCGGGGAGCACGGAACGAGGAAGCAGACAGTTCCAAAGGCAGATGCTACCCCATGCGGAGCCGCTAGAGGCGGAGAGGATGGCTGTCAACGTGATGATTTTCTTGGAGAGTTTGTTGATTGATGTGATCGGTTCGGTCATTAAGGTCTTGATGTTACGTAAAGATAGGGCTAGAGTCACGGTGGTTAAGAAACGGGCAAGGGGTGGCACCGAGAGGAGGATATGATGCAGGAACGCCGTGCTGCAGCTGGGGCTGGTCGGGTGGAGCAATGCGCAGGACAGACTTGAGATAGCTGGATGGGCAGGACCTGTGATGGGTGCGATGGATGCCAGTGAAGACGGCAGGGTGTTTGGGCTTCCTGGATGTAGGATAGGCGAGGCAAATGCTCTGATAAAGGGTTAGCAGAGAGATCCCTGGGTAGAGGCAGCGGCTCGGACTTACGGCCACCGGAGGTTGGCAATACTGGCCAGCGAATCGACCACGGCTTCCTTCTCCGGCCATGGAATTTCCAAGGGCAAAGACTCGGGCCGACCACGCACATAGCTGGAGGAGAGCCTCAATACGACGTTTCCAAGCCACTGTTCGTTCCAGTCAGCATACGTTTCAGGTAAACCCCAGGCAGCTTAAACGAACCTTGGGTGTCGTTTCACGATCAAACACAAAGGCATGGAAGAGCTGTGCGCACGCAACCGGCATCAATAGCCAACTTCCAAACCACCCAGGTCGATTCTTGAACCAGCCCTTTTCATCCAGCGCATTGAACAGAAATTCCAAGCTACGAGTAGCCGTGTAGATGGCTGCTGTCAGACGGAGCTGATTCTGTGGACAGATTCCCAGCGCAAACCCCGCGATACTGGCTCCGACAGCGGGTGCATAGCGCGATGTCAGCGCTTTGGAAATGCGTGGGTTACGGTCTCGGAAAGGTCGTGCATCGTCTGTGCGGAGGTTTGCGCGCAGCTTGACGAAGAAGCGATAGAGGAAGCGGTGGAAGAGAAGAAGCAGCGATAGCGAGACGGAGAGGCGGAAATTGGGGGAGCGCACAAGGGAGGTGCGCGATGCTGTCTTCCTATACCGCGTGCCAAATATTAGCTAGGCCGATGACCTCATATCTTAGACGGACATGCGGGATAACATAAGTAATGGAGGGAACTCACTTGGATAGGTCACCGCGGACCCTTTCGGTCACGATGTCAACGAGTTTCAACAGGGAGCTGGATAGGACCAAAACGCGTAACGAGGCCCGGACCGCGGCTTCATTGTGTTTATTTTTGGAGCGAACGATAGCCTCAAACCTAGAGGGCGAAGGGAGCTTATTCCGAATGGCCGAAGGGGAGTGCTGGATGGCGGAATCGTGGAGCAGCTTGTATTCCTTGGCGCTGAGGGAAATGCGGAGAGCGTTGCGAACCACCGGATGGAGGTCGGGGTTGGGCGTGGAGTCGGGCGCCATCGTGCGGGATTTCCTAGCGGGTCGTCGGCGGGGTCTCAGCGATTCATGAAGCTCACATTATGGGAGACACGGAATAGCGAGACCAGATGCAAGGGACGGAGAGAGGAAAAGAGAAGAAGAGGAATAAGCTCGAGCGTCCGGCGGATTTCCAGCTGGCGGTCTTGCGCTCGTGACCTCGGCTATTTCTCACTATCACCTGCAAATACCGCAACCGGTCAAGAGTCCATACAACAAAGGAGTAGTTCATATTCACCATCTATACCGCGGCCATTGCACAATGTAGAACAATATTATTACCATGAAAGCAAGCCCTGGCCGTCCATGTTCGCATCGCGAATACACGACTAATGGTACCCGGGGAGAATGAAATAATGCTACAAAGAAGGGAAGAGCAAAAATGGGAAGAATAGAAGCAAAGCTGAAAGAAATGGATCGATGAATGATGCCATGCAAAATCCCTTGCCATGAGTTGCGCCATGATAAGACCCCAGAAAACACAAATGGCACTACAAGAGAATCACCAGAAACTGCACCATCCAATCCAATGCTGACAGATGTTCTCGACACTGGTGGCTTGAGCGAGAAGCTTGTCCACCTGGTCGCTGACGTTGAGTTCCTCACTCTGCTTGAAGTCTCTTCCAGTCAACTTCTCCTTGACTCGGGCAAGCACCTGGAGTGCCCGTGCGTTCTGTGCTTCCCTGGCTTCGTTGGGAATGCCCTCTTGCGCATCCAAGATACCACCCTCCAGAATGGAAGGCCGGCGGTGACGGGAGAAGTTGCTGGGCTGGACCCCATGGTCAAGGTTGATGTTGGAAACGACCGATTGACGGCGCTCCGCGGAGAATGGCATCCGGTCTGGCGACTCGCGAATTCCCAGACGCCAGTTGATCAGAGGGTCGTGGATGAACTAGAGTATTGTATATGAGCAAAGCCCTCGTCAATGGAATAGTAGGGCTGCAATAGACTTACCGCTTCCAACACTGCCATCAGAGAATCCTTGTTCTCTCTCAAAACACGCATAACGGCCTCGCAAGTGATGCGGTAGCTTCCTTCGATGTTGCTGACCTCCATGGCAAACGTCAACATACGGGTCAACCGGAAAGGCACCCGCTCGGGGTATTTCTCGCGGTGCATGGCCACCTCGAAGCAGTCACCAAAGTCGATATGGACCACTTTGCCGGTAACCCGATCCAGAAGCAGGTTAGACGGATGGCGATCACCCAGGCCAAGTATATACCCAACCATGGACATGACACCGAGGGAGCGCGTGTAATTCGTGCGACGCTCGAGCCAGGCCTCGGAGCTACTACTCTTGAGCCACAGGACGCGATACAGGTCCTTTCCAGTGGTGTTGTCCATGGCGTATCCAAACACCTCCACTTTCTGCATCAGGGTGAGGTTGTCATAGTCAGGTGCCATTTGCAACATGATGCGGTGCTCGATGTTGAGCAAGATGCGTCGGCTCTCCCGGTATTCCTTGATCAACGCATGTAGGGTGTCACTATTTGAGACCCATCCCAGAATGCCGGAGCTCTGGGACAATGGAATGGCAGGGAACCGTTGCACGGACAAGTGACGTTTGAAACTCTCTCCATCATTATCAAGGAGGGTGTTCACCAGGCCGAACAGCTGCATGACTCGCTCGTCTTGCCGGATATCCTCGTGTCCCTTAACACAATACATGTAGGAGTTTCCGTCACTACCCTTCAACGTCATTCTTCGCGGTCTCTTCTTGGTTTGCAGGACGTGCAAGATAGGATCGAAGCTGAGGATGCGGATGATGGGTCTGCCGCTTTGGTATGTACCGGGAACAGCAAGGTCAAGATCAACACAGTCTTTGAGTTTAGGGGAGACATATTTCAAATCAAGCGTAGACAGCTGTGGAAGCTGCCGGCTGATTTTGCGGAACACCGTGTAGTAGAGATCCCATGCTTGGTTCAAATCGCCGATCTCTTCGGTCTCTCGGTAAAGCATACAGTAGTGCTTCGCCTCCGCAAGATCGCGACCGAATGCCTGGGCAAAAGACACCTCACGCAATGTCTCGGCTCCCTTATCGAGCATTTCGTGTAGAGGCGCTAGAGTTGCAAACATTCCTTCCACGTTGTGATCGCCAAAGTAAAGTCGAGAGGCTTCTTCGAGGCCTTCATGCCAAAGTTCATGCCACAAGACCGCAACTCGAATCAACTCGTGACTTACGACATCAGCTTGCTCCACGAGTTTGGCACTGTGCTGCCGCATGCTGTCCATGATGTTGCTGGCGGATTGCGATCGCCGAGCCACGTTAGACTTCATGGCAACCGTCAACGGATACACCAAGGCCTGAGGATGTACCTTGCCAACCTCCGCCAGTAGCCGATGAACCGCACTCCGTACTCTGATATTCGGCTGATTGATCCGAGCTATAAGCTGGGGAGTGACTGCAAGCCAGGTATCGATGTTAACTGCTGTGAAGCCCTCAGCAACGACGCTGTTCACTTCTTGGTCACCACCATGGGTGAACCAGAGTGTCAGCAATCGCAGCGTGTCCTGCAAAGATGACGTTGAGGATAATGAGATGGACCTGAGAAAGCCGCGAAGAGCAGGTATCACGTGCTCTGTCACAATATGGCCAGGGACCATGGCCATTGTCGTGCCGTCTCTGCTGGCTTGGCTAGCAATGGTTGTAACGACTTCAAAGTTGGCCAAGGCCCATGAGTGCCACGCCTTGTACGAGTCACGGTTGTATTTGGTTGCAGCAGCATATGCGTTGAGCACTTCACGAACATGCTCTGGTCTCCAGTCGCCTCGTTGCAAGGCTGTCTGCCATTCACCTTGTCTGAGATAGCTCTTGGCAAGTAACCTTCGGAATTTGGCAACGTCGCCGATGCGCTCACGCAGCCCCATGACATCTGCGTGGTTTGCATCCGCAATGCCGTTGACACCGTTGACACCATTGACCCCGTTTACCCCATTATGATCCGATTGCGACATCATGAGGGCGTTGAACCGCGTGAAGTCTTCCGTGAGACCTGAAGTAAACTCTTTTAGCATTTGAAGTGCTTCGCGTTGGCGTCCGGTGGCCCAGTTGAACTTGAGCCGTGCATAGGTAACTTCCGGGGGAGCAATTGCCCGTGTGCCGTTGCTGTCAGAAACAACGGTTTCTAGCGATGCGAGCGATCGCTCGGCAAGTCCCATCCGGTTGGATTTGCGACATAGGTTGGCAAACTTGATCCACATGTCGAGATTTTCTCGAGGGGATGTGACAAGTGCTCGAACCTTGAGCATGCGCTGCCACACCTCCACATTCTGCTGGCACCCGAGCAGCCGTTTGTTCCATGTTTGTCGCATCGACTCCTGCTTCTCGGGATCACCAACGTTCTGCTTGTATGTAATAATCTCCTCAAGCTCAGCAAGCATCTGGACACGCACAACAACATTATAGGCACGGTTATATGACTCTCCCAACAATGCCGAAAGTTCGGTGTCCAAACCGTTGCGTGCCTTTTCGATATACATGCTTGCCTCATCGAACTGATTCCGATGAATAGCAAGAATGGCACCGAAAAAGGATCGATCGGGCGATTGCTCCTTCATAACACCAAGATAAGAATCCATCAATTCCCACTGGCCGCGACCCCAGGCGGCCGCCGCCGCGAGAGGTGCAATAGCCCTGCGATGTTCGAGGGATGCCTGGTTCCATTTTTCCTGGGCGAGATCAGACAAGACCTTCCACTCCCCGAGGGCATGAAGACACCGCATCTTGCCCATTGTGACCCCGAAGGAATCAGGATCGATTTTTTCGCGCCGTTTGTACGCAGCGAGAGCTTCCTCCCAACGCTGAAGCTTCTCAAACCATGTTTCTTTGAGTTCCACATCCCGGTATGCTTGTGCCTTCCGCAGAATACCAATAGCGGCATCGGATTGCTGCAGTTGATTGTTGATGGTAATCAAAGCCTCCACCGCTCCCGAGTTCTGATCTTGCTCAAACTCAAGCTCCTTGTAATGTAGAGCCTTCGCGAATGCATGACATTTGGCGGCATACTTGCCAAGGGTGCGGATGTCGATGGGAAGGGCCTTGTCGTCATGCTCCATGAATTCCGCTAGGTTCAGAAGGACCTGCAAAATTTCGGGAGGAATATTCGGTGAGGTGAGGGCCTTCTCGATGGATCGGACAAGTTCTTCTTGGTATTGGTCATACAACTCAGTCCAACAAGACACGAATGCCGCGTTGAAGAGATCCCTTGCTAGTGGTTGGTAGATACCAGCCAGACTAGCACATGCTCGCAGGGCGGGAGAAGGCGATTCTTTCAGCAACTCCACACTGAATCGTCGGATCCATTCCTGCCAGTCTTCGCGAGTAGACTTCTGTGAGGCGTCCCAAGCATTCTTCAAGTGCTGCTGGTTGACAACCATCTTCTTTTGCCCGATCTCAGCGTAGTTGGTATCATCCGCCAGCGCGGCGTAATTTTCATCGGGATTAAGGTCTTGCGGAAGCGGATCTCCCTTTTGTAGCTTGGTTACCAAGATGTGGTAGTTGACATGGTTTACCTGGTGGTATTTGAGAACCTTGTTCAGCAGATGTATGTAGTGATTGAAGTCCTGGCCAAGCTGGAAGATAAGAGCGCAGATGCAGTCCATAGCAGCTTGCCGCAACAAGCGATCGTTGCCTGCGACAACCCGGGACAAGGAATGAACCATCAAGGACGCGAAGTCTGAAACATTGACCTGTCGCGAGAGTTTGGTGAGGGTATCGATTGCAGACTTCCGAATACTCTGCGGGTTTTGAGATCTGTCAAAGAGGCGCACAATAGAGGGAACGATCAGGTGCATATATTCTTCTCCACTTGTACCAAATATTAAGAATGTGTGAAGTATCTTCTCTGAAGGCTGACGACGTGGCGTGCTGTCCTTCTCAAGGGTGTCGAGCATCGGGGGTATGAGACCAGCAAGATATTTCTTAAATTCGCCTTCCAATGACTTGGCGATTGCCTCCACGAGTGATAGGATTGTGGCCTGAACTT